GCCTCTACTGCTTCTGGGTTTCTGCTTCTGGATTCTTTGTAGAATAAAGATTGGATCCCCTAAATACTCTTTCCGCATTTTCCCTATCCCACCTTTCTGTATGTTCCTCTGTATTGTAGCAGAATCATGCAACTACACTTATGTTTCAGTCCGCCATTTCCTTGAATGCTGGACTTTCCCCAGTCAAACTTCCCACACCCTGCAATCGTGGCTGGAGAACACAGCAGAGACCCTTAATTGTCCACAGACTGCCAGAGTGAGGAATAGTGAGATGCCTTTTCAATGAAAGCTCTGGGGAAATCCCAGAACAAGATGCCAATGTTGCATTCTTGACTTCATTACTAAAGAAGATTATGTATAAGGAGAAGGGGGATTTTTTTAAAAAAGCTTTTACTGCTTGGATGTGCTGGGAAACATAGTTCTGCAGCATGTTCTTTCTTAAAAGTCAAATGCAGAAACAGTTTGTGCAGTTCAGCGCTCCTGGTCTGTTCTAGTTAAGCATTTGCTGTCACAGAATATGGAACTGGTCCTGAATTTAGGATTCAATAAGGATACAGTGATCAACTACGTAGCTAGGTAATTTCAGACTCTGGACTTAACTGTTTAATGCAGGTCTGGTTTATAAGAGTTAAGCAGGGCTGTCAAGGAAAAGGTCATTTTGGGTGGCCCTCCTTCATAGGGTTGCCTGAAGTGGGAGATGACATGTAACAGCCCAAGGATATGCATTTATGTGTTTTGGTTTTGCATGAGAAGGGACAACTCACAGGAGAAGACAATAATGCTAGGGAAAGTTGAAGTCAAAAGGGGAAGAGCAACTATGCTACGGATTGCTTCCACAAAGGAAACCACAGCCTTGAGTATATAATAGCTTTAAGTATACATTCTGAAAAGTTGAATAGAACTTCAAAGCAAGTTGCACTCGAAAAGAAACAGGGGGCTGCTAAAAGGTAAAGGTAAAGGGTTCCCCTTGACATTAAGTCCAGTCATGCCTGACTCTCAGGGGCGGTGCTCATCTCCGTTTCCTGGCCGAGGGAGCCAGCGTTTGTCCATGGACAGTCTCCGTGGTCGTGTGGCCGGCATGGCTAAACACCGAGGTGCACGGAACACTGTTACCTGCCCACCGAAGTGCTGCCTTTTTATCTACCTGCATTTGCATGCTTTCAAACTGCAAGGTTGGCAGGAGCTGGGACGGAGCAACAGGAACTCACCCCGTTGTGCAGATTCGAACCGGCGACCTTTCGATCTACCAGCCCAGCAGCACAGCAGTTTAAACCACTGCGCCACCTACAGTCCCTAGGGGCTGTTAGCCCAGGGTTAAAACCAGGTGCTGGAGGCCAGAGAGGCCATGCACCACAGCGTGTGACACACGCGCGTGTTGCTCTGCTCATGGGATGCACATTGGCACCACCGTTGCTCATGCACACAAACGTTTGTTTTTAGAGGGCAACCTATGGGGCAGCCCTATCGCTGAGCAGAGGGAGGAGGTTGCTTCAAGTGGCAGCTGCCAGAAGGTAGCAGCAAGGCATGGGAGGAGTTGCTGGGGACCATGCGGTTTTCCTTGTGGCTCCTGAACATACCCGCTGCCTTCAGGCATGTTGGGGGACACAGCTGGGAGCATGCCTTTTCTCCCCTCTCTTTCCAGTAGATCTGAACCCAACATGGGAGGAACCAGTACACCTGGGCAAAGCCTCGGACAAAGGCTTATGCACCACAACAGAGGGAGCATCTTGAACAGTGCCCAATATGGTCTTTCCAAGAAAGGAAGAAAACTTGGGTATAAAGAACATGGTCTTTGACGGCTATTGACCAGTGTATGGGAAGCAAACAGCATGAACTTGAACTCTTAATGTGGGAGGGTGAATAGAACCTGATACGTAGGTAGAACTGAAAGTAGGTGGGATGCCTCCCATGACTAAAATCCAACAATTGAAAGATATAACCTGTTCAAGAACCGAAGGAATAGAAAGGAAGGCATTTGCACGATATGCAAAAGATACATATGTCTGCAGGGCATGTGGTGGCTCAGTGGATAAGATGCTGAGCTTATCAACAGGAAGGTTGATAACAGTTAGGCAATTTGAACCCCCAGTGCGGTGCAACAGAGTGTTCTCCCATTACTCACCCCAGGATCTGCCAGCCTAGCAGTTTGAGAGCATGCAAATGAGAGTAGATAAATAGATGGCACTTTGGTGGGCAAAAGCATTTAGGCATGCCAGCCACATGACCATGGGAGCATTCTAGAACAATGGTGGCTCTTCAGCTCGTCATGGAGATGAGCGCTGTCCCTAGAGTCAGACAGGATTAGCACACATGTGCGAGCGAGCGAAACCTTTCCCTAAACCTGCGTATCTCTGCACTGAAATGCAGAAGGGTGTCCTTAGTAGGCCCATCAAGAGCATCTGGATTCATATAAATAGAGCAAGGAATACAAGGAACACATTTCATGATACCTAGTCGGAATCTGGCTTCTTGTAACTTGAGCCGGTTATTCTGTGTCCTGCACTCTGGGATGACTGAAAGGAGGTCCTGGACTTCCTCTTCTGACAGCCTTTCAGGGACTTGTAGGGTGCTACACTAACTTCTCGGGCTAAACATGCCCAGATTATTTGCCAAGCTTAGCTTCCTGACCCTGGATCATCCTCGTTGCCGTCCTCTGAACCCTTTCTAGCTTTTATATATTTATATTTATATTGCAATTTATATCCTGCCTTTTTCCTACAAAGGGCTCAAGGCAGTTAACATCATCTCTCCTCCTCCATCTTATCCCCACAACAGCCCTGTGAGGTAGGTTGGGCTGAGAGTCTGTGACTGGCCCAAAGCCACCCAGTTGGCTCCATGGCTGAGCGGGGACCAGAACCTGGATCTGCTGAGTCCCACTCCCGTGCTCTTAACCACGACACCACACTGGCTTTTCTGCATCTTTTTAAAATTTTGGTTCCCAGAACTGGACACAGTTCTCCTATACCCTGAGTAGTGCTGAGAATAAGTCAGAAGGATCTTGGAAGCTGAATATGGGTCAGCAATGTGATGTGCCTGCAAAAAGGGAAAGGCTGCATTGATAGAAGTATGCCTTCCAGATTACACGGCATCCTTGTTCCTTTTCCTGTTGCCAGGCTGCTGAGGCAAAATTCAACTGTCGCGGTTTTGTCCATGGAAAGAGCAGGGGCGCCATTTTGTTCTTTGCCTCAGGCAGCAAAAATGCCTTGGGCTGGCCTTGCTAGGTGTTCAGGGAAACTGGAGAAGGGTGGCCACTTGTGAATCACCCGAAAAGGGGATAAAAGGAGGTGCTAACTGGCATGGAAGGCACATATGCTAATCTATTTTATACAGATGTGAATTTAGACACCATTGTTATTGAAATAAAAAGAAATACAGTAGGTGTCATCATGCTCCTCAGAAGGCCAGATCCTGAAGATGGAACTCAAATACTTTGGCCACCAAATGAGAAGGAAGGACTCCCTGGAGAAGAGCCTAATGCTGGGAACAATAGATGGCAAAAGAGGAAGGGGACGGCAGAGGATGAGGTGGCTGGATGGAGTCACTGAGGCAGTGGGTGTGAGCTTAAGTGGACTCCGGGGGATGGTGGGGGACAGGAAGGCCTGGAGGAGTGTTGTCCATGGGATTGTGATGGGTCAGATACAACTTCGCGACTAACAACAAGGTGTCATCATAGTGTGGAAGGGGGTGACTGGATGACCCATGTGCCTGCACAGGCTGCCACTCAAGTGCTGTCGATGGGTGACTTCAAGGCCCTTTGGCTCTTTCTCTGGATGCCTTTTCAAACTGGACCAGGACATGGCAGCGCTTGAAAAAGAGGATAATCCCCTGGCGGACCTTCCAGCAGAGGACCAGCTGCTGCAAAGAGGATGCATGGCCACCCCAGAACTGTGTGGCCTGCCCCGTGCTTCTCAAGGGGCAGGTTTCTTCTGTCCCTGAGAAGCAGGGATGCAATTTCTCCACAATTCTTTGTCCCCAAATTGGCAGCAGTACAAACTGTGAATGTTGCTGCTTGCCATGGCCTGGGCGTGCTTTATAGGAAAGGAATGGAGCACATAAAGAAATATATAGCAGGTTGTTGGTTCTGTCTTATAATTTGAAGTGGATGCTGGGAAAGGAAGGAATATCTGGTTAAGGTAAAGCATATATTTCAGAAATGGAGAAATCAAGAGTCGGGATTTATGATCAGGCCATATTTCTGGGTACAGATCCCTACATTGCAACACATTGGGATATTAAATATGGTTGTACACCCTATTGTTTTGAACGTAATGCTGGGACAATAGAAAGCAATTTAAGCTGAGGGATCCCAGAATGTGCAGTGCAGCTAGGTCGGTTTGTACCCTGGACTCTAACAGGCAGGGAAGGCACCGATCTGGGGTCATGGTTGCATTTACAAATTAAGAAACTGTCCCAGGCACCAGCACAAAATGGCTGTTGTGGGAGGCATGACAAAGCATAACTACTTGGCCCAAAGGTCTGAATACAAAGCAAAGCCCCATCCAATTAAACAACTCCCATGAAGCCAATTTTCAGCATCAACAGGGACCTCATTCACAGCCGTCCTTGCAGCCTGGAAGAAAATATTTTACCAAAGAGGGAAAAAATGGGCAGGGCAGGACAGGACACCTTGGTGGTCTCAGCAGCCAGAGGGTGTCCTTGGCAACTGCTGACCAGACCATTCTTACAGGGGTTTTTTTTTTGGGGGGGGGTGCATGTCTATCAATCCTCCAATTCAGTAGGACCACACAATTCAGTTTGATTTCGCTTCCTGCTTTGAGTGTCCTGCACTTCAAAGGCACGCTGAAAGAGGAACAGGAGTCATTTCCTACTAACTTGCTTACGTAGAATCCCGGTGTGCCTGGCAGATAAAGAGAGTATAAAAGGGCTGTGGGATGGATGGATGGACGGACATCGACTGAGGAAAGGCAGGGTTGTCTGCACTCTTCTTGCAGCCACCTTTGGAAGGAGCTGAGACATCAAGAGACGTCCAGAGAGACATCATGGACCACGAGGAATACAGGCAGAGAGGTGAGTAAATGGACGGGAATGAAGGAGAGTTTAAGGACTGTGCCCTTCATGTTTTCTTCTTCTTTATTCCCTGATGAACCTCTGAGCTCTGAAGGATTTAAAATGATCAGGCAAGTCCGCAAGTAGACAAATCAACCAACAGCTCTTTGCTGGGATGGCTAAATGGAACCTCCACGTTCAGAGGCAGTGTGTCTTTGAATCCTGCCTGTGAACTGCGGACCACGACGAGAAGGCTGTTGGTGTTCATGCTTTCCTTGTGAGCTCCTTAAGGTTTCTTACATGTCTACCCTGCCTTTTGCTCAGAAGGGCACTGTGGCAAGGCAACACTGATGAAGGGCCAGTGAGGAGGGGCGGTGGGTTGGACCCCCCGGTTGGCCTTGTGCCAGGCACAGACTCTCGACCCAGCCTCCTTTGCAGGGTTGTAAGCATGAAATGGAGCCATGCAAGCTGCCGTGTGTTCCTCACAGGAGGAAAAAAGGTGGGATACACATGCAACAACCATCACCCCAATTTATATGCACAACAACCCTGCAGAGTAGATTACAAGGAGAGAGAGTGACTAGAGAAGCACATTTTGGGATGGGGAATCTAAGGTCCTTTGGACAACCATCTGCAGCCCTTGCCAGCATGACCCATGGCCAGGGATGCTGGTCTACAAATATTTCCTACCTCTGTAGTATCTCATGTTGGCCGTGCCTCCAACTGGGGGAGCAGAGAGAAGGAGGACTGGCACAATCCCTGCCCATTGGTCATGCTGTCAGGACCGGACTGAATGGGAATTGTAGTCCAAAATGCCCAGAGGGCTCCAAGGGAGACCGGAGCAGATGAAAGGTGGTCAGCTCCGGAGGAGTGCCATGGGGCATGCAATGTGTCTACTCAGAGCAACCCCCACTGAGATTCGGGGGGTGTGACCTCATGGAAGTGAATAGAAGCTTGCAGCCTGGTGTGCCAGTATTTATGAATCTGAAGTATTTTTATACTGCTCCCTAGCCAAAAAAAAAAAAAAAAAGCTCCCAAACTGGCTTACATCAAATCGATTAAACAGTACCATCTCTGTCGCAGGTTTATAATCTAAAAATGCACGCTGGAGAAGGACGAAGGCATGGGGAGGGAGGAGGAAAACTGCAGCCCTCTGCAGCCGAATCCTACGCATGCTTTCTGAGAAGCATCTGCATGCAACAGACCCCCCTCGAGGGGAGCGTGCACAGGATGGCAACCCCTCTAATGGCATCCTCCTTCGGGAGCAGACCCCGTGCACGCGGCGGGGCTCGCGCACACGGGTTCCCGCAGCAGCCTCGGTCCTTCCTCCCCTGGGGGGCTCACGGGCTGCGGGTGGCTCTGCCCTGGCGCCGGCGCCCGATGCGGCTGCCCAAACCACCCCTTCGGCGCCGCACGTGCATGTGCAGAGCGCCCCGCCTCCCCGCACGGGCAGGCGCCGCCGCCTTGGCGCTGACAGCCCCCCGCTTCCTCCCCAGGGAAAGAGATGGTGGACTACATCTGCCACTACCTGACCCACGTGCGGGAGCGGCGCGTGTCTCCCGACGTGCAGCCCGGTTACATGAGGGGGCTGCTGCCCGACGGGGCTCCTGTGGAGCCGGACAGCTGGGAGAGCATCTTCAAGGACATCGAGCGGATCATCATGCCCGGGGTAAGGACGCGAGCGGCGCGGGGGCCGGGGCTGCTCCGCCAGGGCAGCCCCAGCCAGGAAAGGCGCGCAAGCACCCGCGCAGTGGCCGCGGAAGGGGAACCCTCGCCCCCCCCCCCCGCCCCGATCCCATTCACTGCCAGTCCGATGCCGCACGGGGATGCGCTTCGCAACAGAAAGCGCTCCTTCCTTTTTTACACGCATGCACATGGTTATAGAAGCTCATTGGTGTTGTATTTTTACTTCGAAAATAGCCATCCTTTCCCACAGCATAGCGCTTACTCCCAGTGGTAAATATGTTCAACACCGGGGCATTAAAAGCAAATTCCATGTCTATTCCAGGAGTCATGATGGTCCTGTGATTTAAGAGAGCTTAAAGTACGAAGTGGAACATACTGCAGGGCGCCTGGGAAGTACTGGCTTTCTTTTGAAATGGCACCCGAAGCAAAATGGGGCAATGCAAAGGAATTCCTGTTGCGAATTTCGCAGGTGGCAAAGCCCCCGTGTGGCTTACAGGCCGTGTGTTGCAGATGAACCATTCAGTTTCAAGGGGCTGTTGGAAAGGTGATTCAAAGTCTGTGCGGCACTTTGAACATGGGAAATAAGCTGGTCCAGTGCTCAAGGTGCGGATGATTAACACACACCTGCTAAATGAAAAAAGCCATGCCATCAAAAGGCGGAACAGTAAAGACTTAGTGACAGTTCAGCACTGCATTTACACGCACGCACGCACGCACACAGAGGACAAATAGGTCAGGCAATTTCGGTGTAACCCTTGGTCCCTTCACTAGAACCAGTTATGATTATGATTAGATTACTTATGGCTTCCTCTTTGTGGAAGTGGCATCAGTGTTTTCCACTGAGATAAATTGCACACATATTTATCTACTAGCTGCACGTGATTATACTTCCTTTGCTGTTGTCCCAGAACACAAAGATGCTGTTGCAAGATCCAAGATGTGGGCCTGCAGGCAGGACTGCAGTCGTCCCCTTCTTGGTATGAGAAGCAGGAGGACGGGCTCTTGTGCCTTTTAATACTTGTACACAAGAGGGAAATTTAGCAGGAGTTGCAGAAATGGGGGGCATTTTGGGTCATGATGCCCTGTCCTTGGAAGTCCCCACTGTGGGTTCAACGCTTGGCAAACACTGCTTCCTTATAACTGCAGACTTTTAAATAATTTCTGGATCTGTTGTTCAGCGAAACTATTTTAACTGTTGTTTAGATTGCAATCAAAAGTGTTTGGGAGATGGGTGGTTTTGCTCTGCTTGACCATGTTATTTGCAAAACTCTCCTAGAAACTGGTATTTAAAAGGGCAGGCCTAGAGGTTAACGAATTAAGAAAGAAATCATAATCATTGGAAAAGAAAATAGATAGCGCTTTTCTCATTCGTGTGTGGAGTGACACAGGTGCCTCGGGTGAGATGCGGAGGGATGGCGAACTGTGGCCAGGCGTCGGAGGGCAGGGCCGTGCTTCTGGTGCAATGGGGGGATGCTGTTCCTTCATCAGAATGGCCCATCCAGTTGGCTTCTGGATGTGGAGGGTGCAGGTCACCTTCTTGCCCTTGCCCTTCGCCTCAGGCAGCAAAACGTCTTGGAAGGTTCTTTGACAGCCGGGTAGTGTGCTGGTGGACCTGTGGGAGGCCTGGTTTTGAGTCTCCCTTTGGCCGTGGAAGCTCACCCGGTGCCTCTGGATCAGTCCTTGGCTCTTAGCCCAACCTACCTCTCAAGGCTGTTGTGAGGATAAAATGGAAAGGAAGGGGAGGTGGAAATGAATGCTGCCTTGGAGGTCCTTGGAGCAAGGGGAAAATATGAATAAATTAAAAACATACAGTGTATTTCTGCAACTGAAGTCCTGATCCTCTTGCTCCATTGTGAATCCATTTCTGCTAGACTTTACTCTGTTGCGGTGCAGTCAGTCATGTGTCATCACCTGATTCCTTCCCTCGTTCATCCTAGATGGTCCACTGGCAGAGTCCACATATGCACGCCTACTTCCCAGCACTCACCTCCTGGCCATCCCTGCTGGGAGACATGCTGGCAGATGCCATCAATTGCCTGGGATTCACTTGGGTAAACGATCGCGCTTCTCCTTTCTGCTTCACTTGCCTTATGCACTGCTATCCTAGCTGTCTGTCTCCCTAAATTCAGTGCTTGTTATTCCAAGGAAAGCAAGCCTAGGATCGCAGCCTCAATGTCCTTATGAATTGAATTGTTTTTTCTGATGCTTTGAAGAAAAGAGAGTACTTCCTTAGTAATCTCTATACATTAATTCTGTATATAAACTGACCAACTTCCATCTCACAAAAAGTTGTAACTCTGTGTGTGTGTGTGTGTGTGTTGTGTGTGTGTGTGTGCGTGTGCGTGCACATGGGAGTTACTTCTTTTCCTTGGCAGGATGGCTTCTTTTAGGTTTAAGACTCCAATATTGTTATAATGCAGCTTAGCAAGCGCTAGGTGGTGGTCCGGTGAAGCGTTGCACTGGTGCAAAAAGGTGTCAAATGGCTTTATCCAGATTTGTATGCAGATTTCCCAGATTCCCGTCTTGAGCCAAGACGCAAAAGGGTGAACCAGCGCACTGAAATCTGCATGCGCAACACTTTGCAATTTACAATACAGCTCTCCACTTAGAAAAAGCGCACACAAACATCCATATGCAGCAGAAGAGTGAACATGGGAATGCAAACACCCCTAAAAATTACACACAGAAAAGTATTATAAAATGGGAGGGAGCTTGCAAAAATGCACATATAAACATGTCTGTGTGATGTGTGCATTGGCACACACGATTGTAAAAATCACCCTAACTGATGTGAAATGTGGCTGAAACAAACAGAGGTATAAAAATGAGAAACTGAGCAGAAGCTAAACTGACATACGTGCTCACATGCATTGTAAGAAGTAGCCAAGTTCTTCCACTCCTGCTCAACTTAACATTTTTTCAGCATCCAGAGAATGGGGAGAAGACTGAGCAGCTTGTGGCTGCCTAGCAATTGTGCCCCACCATCTTATTTTCTTTGGACTGGGAGCTGAAGAACTCGCCCCTGAGTGCACCCAGTCGCTGCACGCCTCTGGCAATGTCACAGGAAGTTCTCATTCCAAGGTGTGGCCAAATCCTGCAGCCGACTCACTGCTGCATTGTGGGGAAATTCTGATGCCTGCTGAATCTGGCTAGGACTGAAACTGCACCATCAGGCGCAAACATGCACCTTCCCCCAGAAGCATGCATATTCCCGTATTAATAGAATTTGCTCCACTGCAAAGGCTCTTCCTACCCATCATGCATTTCTTTTACCCTTGCAGGCATCCAGCCCAGCCTGCACAGAACTGGAAATGAACGTGATGGACTGGCTGGCTCAAATGATGGGTCTCCCGGAGATGTTCTTGCACTATCACCCAGACAGCAGGGGTGGAGGCATTTTGCAGGTAAATGGCCAACCCGAAGGGGTCTGTTTGTCTCAATCTGATCTTCCATATACTGGATGCCTAGATGTTCATAGAATCAAATGTACCCCAGGGACTGTCCAGGGCAGCAGTTCAGTTAGGACTCCAGGGCTCAGCAAAGTGAAGAAGCCCAGGCCCAGGGTGAGCCTGTCTCACCTGGGGCTCCAGTCTGGCCTTCCAAGGTTCTCCCAAGCAACCTTCCCAGGCTCCACCCTTTCCCCCAACAACCAACGGTGTTGTAGCTTCCCAGTTTTCAGGCAGGGGCTTGTTGAAAGTTTGTAATCAAACTTCTCCTAAGGCTTGATTACATTTCATAAGAGCTTTAAATTATAATGTGCTGACATTTTGGCCCACGCCTTTTCCTGCGACCCCTCCCACCCAGCATGCACCCCCTCCCACCCCAAAAGCTTCTCCAATATGATGCTCAGCCCTGTGCCTGAAAGAGCTTCAGCATCTGAGTTTAAGATACTCCCTTTAGGGAAACTAGGTAGACACTGCAATACAAAATCTCTTGACTTGTCCTAAGGCAGCTTCTGATGTAGGCATAATCAGGTTCTGCTCCACTTTTTCTTGCAGAGCACGGTTAGTGAGTCAACCTTGATTGCGTTACTGGCAGCAAGGAAGAATAAAATCCTGGAAATGAAAGTTTCCCAGCCAGATATAGATGATTCCACGTTGAACTCGCATCTTATTGCTTATGCCTCAGATCAGGTAATTTGTTGCTCAACCTGATTTTTGATGCCGTGGCTGGATAGGGAACCCTCCGCTTACGTGGCCACCTGTACTGGATGGAAGCTGAAGTCAGCGGCAGTAGAAAGATACATGGGGGCAGCTGTGGAGAGCTGGGTAACGAAGGCCATCTGCACTGGACCAAGGGAGCCAGAGATGGCCTTCTGACAAGGGTGAACAAAGATGAACACTATTCTGGTCCACCCTGCAAGACTGACATAAAGATTGCTAAAATAATGCCCATGATGTATTTTAAGCATGTAGGACACTATAATCGTAGCTTTACTAAAATTATATTGTGCAAGAAGTACTGTGTAACAAAATGGTGCAGCTTGGAGTGCTCCTGTTAGGGTGGCCATCCAGAGTTAGCCATATTTAAAATAGGCTCATTGAAATCTCTCTCTCTCTCTCTCTATATATATATATATATATAGAGAGAGAGAGAGAGAGAGAAGAGGGTGGACAGGTCTCTATTTGAAAGTATTCTCTATTTCAAGCACTGTCCAGTCCAAGTCCAATTTAAAGAACCAGAACAAAGCAGACCAGAGGACTTGATGTTGTGCATCAACAGATAATAGCTGGCCAGTTGACTAAGCAAGGCACACAGATTGCTTGCTTTCCATTTGCCCTATTTTGAGCAGGGGGTGGGGGGACGCACTTGACATCTTGAGTGTGCAGTCTTCATCCTGTTCTGTGATTCCTTGGGGGTTGCTGAGGAAGTCAGATGAGAATACGTTAGATAACAAAGGGAAGAAAACAGGACTTTGGGTAGAGCCTGGCTGGATTTCTCTCCTGCTAGAACACTAGGAGGATGGTGTCTCAGCAGGGAACAAAGGCCAGTTGAATAAGACTTATATTGCGGCCTATCTTGGAGGAGGGACTGGATTGTTAAAGGGCCCTTGCCTGATTTTGTAACCTCAACCTGCTGTAGGGCTGAGGATATGGGGATCTATTTTCTGATCCAGAAAAGCCTTACCAGGGAAAAAATTTTAAAGACGACAAAATAGTAACATAGTGTCTTTTAATTGCCAGTGCTGAGAGCACTCCATCTGGAAACACCCTAAGATTGCAGCCTAATGCAAACTTATCTGGAAATATGTAGACTTTCTTCTGCATTCACACGTAGTTAGTCTGCATGTACTTTTACTCTCCCTTCACTCCCACAAAAAAAATTGTAACAGGATTGACTAGTTTTGAGTCTTCCTGACCTACACCCCAGTAACTGGGTCCTTGGAATCCATTGCTTGTCTTCTCAGGCCCACTCCTCTGTAGAGAAAGCAGGTTTGATCTCCCTCGTGAAGATGAGGTTTCTGCCTGTAGATGAAGATTTTTCCTTAAGAGGTGAAACCCTAAGAAAAGCCATTGAAGAGGACAGAAGCCGGGGCCTGGTGCCGATCTTTGTAAGTCTTGTTCTGTCTCTCCTTGGTTACGATGACCCATATAAGCCAGAACGTACGTCCTTCCACATAGGCCCCCGCACTGAGCTGCCCAAAGATTTCTTTGTCTCAGCAGTGTAATGCAAGGATGGAGAAGTCCTTTGTTGCTACTATTTAGGATCTGTGACAAATTACCAGTAAAACCATATCTCCCCAAACAATGTCCCCACTTCCCAAATATTTCTGCATCTTCACAAGAACAAAACCAGAAGGCACATAACTATGTTTAGCTTAGTTTAAGCCATTGCAGTATGGTTTTGTCTGAAATGAGTGGTTTATGTATCTTGTATGTGAAAGATTGACTTGTGGAAGGTGCCTCTCAGGGATCAGGCATACTGAATAAAACTGCAGATTTACAAATCCTTCCACAGTCAATTTTCTGTACATTCTTACCTATCCTTTACAAAATTCCATCCTAACGACAGATGTGTGCATTTGTATGTGTGTGAGGGATCAACCATAAGTAAGGCCAAAGGCCTGCCACAATATTCAATACAAGGCAAAGCATAGTTGGGAAGAAAGACCACTCACTTTTCATGAGTCAGGGAGTTCCACTGCTTTGATGTAGCAGCCAAGAATGGCTTCTCACATGTTTTCTGCCAAATGGTGAAAAGGCATGTGAACTCATATATGCTTTAAGGATCCTACTCCTAAGTTAGGATAAAAGTTATGTAAAGTTTTTAAAGGTCATGTCCAGTTGCTCATTATCTCAACCCTTGTCTGTTCCCATCTGCTTCTGGACAAAACTTTCTCCTTTTGAGAGCTGACTTAACTCCTTTGATCTAACTCCTTTCACACTTAATTCAGCAGCAGTATCAACCGCAAGGGAAATGAAACTAAAACTGGAGAAGGAGAAATGAATCAGGGCCACTGCAATTTTTCACTTTCAGAATGGAAAGAGTTGTGATATAGCCCTGCTGCTGCTGCCCAGAGCCTGCCCACCCGCTCGGCTTGACTTGCTACGCTGTCTGAGATCAGACAGGATGTACAGGGCTTGTGCAGCCCACAGAGGCTGGAGGATCAGACAGTGGATGCAAGGCAAGCTAGGCTATACACACACAGGGGAGGTCGCCTGCACCATCCATAACGGCAGCGTATTCCGCTCTACCCCGGTCCCATGTCCAGCCATTTTGCTCACTAAGAATTTTTATCTCGGCCCTTTTGAGGTTCAGCTGTACTTTCTTGACAAGTCTTGCCTCCTTGTCTAGGTTTGTGCAACTCTGGGGACAACCGGTGTCTGTGCTTTCGACAACCTTTCAGAGTTGGGTCCTATATGTAAGTCGTTGCACCGCTTCTTAAAAGTCTCTTCCCCAGCCAGCATCAGCGGCAGCAGGTCCATGAACACCCAGTGCGGGGAGTGGGGGGGGGGACATCTGAGAGGATGATAGGTTAGCTAGTGTGTGACCCCGTGACCTGATCCGGCAGGGCTCTTTGTGGGTTCTTATGCTCTGTGCCATCAAGTAGTTTCTCAGTTCAGGTCAGATATTATTACTGGGGTGCCTGAGGGGACCGGGTGTAGATTCTCTCCCATCTCAAAACCGTCCAGCAGAATTTATCTGCGGTGTTTGCGAGGGGGTGGTGTTTGGGGCCTGCACCTTCAATCTGCACTTCTTGTTCCTTTGCAGGTGCAAAGGAAGGCCTCTGGCTTCACGTTGATGCTGCTTATGCTGGGACGGCATTTCTGTGCCCAGAATTCAGGACATTTCTGAAAGGAGTTGAACATGCTGATTCTTTTACTTTCAATCCCTCCAAATGGATGATGGCCCATTTTGATTGCACGGCATTCTGGTGAGTGCAAGGCAGAAGTTCCCCCGGGGCTGGAGTGGGTGGGATTTTAAGTCCCGGGAATTCTTTCTAACTGCCAGTGGTTGTTGTCTCCCCATTTATTTAGGGTCAAGGATAAACAGAAGCTGCAGCAGACTTTCAGTGTCAACCCCATTTACCTCCAGCATCCCAATTCAGGGTCAGCTACAGATTTCATGGTGAGTAAAGGGAAAAATAGGTACTGAAGATGAAACAAGTACGTTGGCCACCTAACGAGAAGGAACAACTTACTGAAGAAGACCCTGGTGCTGGGAATGATTGACGGCAAAAGGAGAAGGGAATGGCAGAGGTTGCTGTGAAAACATGGAGTCACTGGGGCGGTGGGTGTGGCCTTGGGGGGACTCTGGGGGATGGTGGAGGATGGGAAGGCCTGGAGGAGTGTTGTCCACGGGGACATGATGTCCGTGGGGCACGACTTTGCGACTAACAGCAGCAACAAAGGGGAAATGGCTAAATGAGGCCAGTGAAGGAAGATCCTGGTCTGCTTAAATGTTTGCAAAAAACTATTGGCGTATGTTGCATGTTCATCTGTCCGGTCCAGTTGGGGAAAAGGGTGCCCGTTCTCCTTCTGTCCTTTCCTCATGAGTTTGCTGTAGGATGAGATACCAGCTCGCCGTAGCTTTGCAGCATCGTTAACTTCAGAGGCAAGTGGCAACACCCCTCCCTCTTTTGCTTTCACTAAGCCGCCATTGTGTTTTATTTACAGCACTGGCAGATCCCGCTGAGCCGAAGGTTCCGTGCACTGAAGCTCTGGTTTGTCATTCGCTCATTTGGCGTGAAAAAGCTTCAAGAACATGTCAGACACGTAAGTGAATCAGGGCTGCAAATGTGGACGTGACGCCTTGTTCGTTGCCATAGTTCACTAGCACCACTTAGAGCAGTCGTGTAAATAAGGTGTTGACCAATGTCAGGCAAATGTGCGGCTGGGAAACTGCTGGTTCAGGTCGCCACACTGGAAAGGTACAGGATGTTTGTCGGTCCCTCAGAGAGGGGAGAAACTTGCTTCCTGACCTCTACACCACCCAGCTGCCCGTGACCAAGCCCAGGGCTGGTGCCAAGCATCGGCCTGCTTGGCACCTGCTAAAGCTCCACACCCAGCAGCATCCCTCTGGGGAGGAGCTGCTGGGGTTGCCTTCCCTTCACCCCTGCCACCTGCCGGCTTACCTGCCTCTTCCCCAGACCTGGACACCTTGCCCTGGCCTGGGCAATAGCGGAGATGGGAAGGAGAAGCGGTAGGTGCTCCTGCCTACCTGCTCTTCGCCCGTCTAGCGAGTGTCAGCAATGACGAGGAACAGGGTAGGGAGAAAGAGCGGCTGGTGGCCATGAGGAAAAGTGGGCTCATGGAGGGCATCCTGCACAAAGGCCCTCAACCATTAGAGCCAGCCCAGACCGGGCCTGAGGTTTTAGGTGGCAATTTTGGTGCAGCCTTCCTCCTCCTGGTGCCACGGGTTCCACAGTAGAACTCTCAGTATTCCTGAACATTAGCCATGCTAGCTGGAGCTGGAAAGATATGAAATCCAAAACATTTGAGGTTCGAGAACCCTGAACTAATGGGTGCTCCTGACCTTTTCCATCCCTTTAACATCTTATAATGCTAAATATGTACTGCTTTTCAAATGACCAAGGAAGTCTCTTTCCTTTTTGCAGTGAGGTTATATTTTCATTTTCCATGCAATGACATTTGCAATAATCTAGTAGAAATAATTGCTACCTTCCTGTTTTTTGAAAACTACAGGGTACCGAAATGGCTAAATATTTTGAGTCACTAGTCAGAAGCGACCCCCTTTTTGAGATCCCTGCTAAGAGACACCTTGGACTGGTTGTATTTCGTTTGAAGGTAAGGTGCAAGATTTCCTCTGGCATTGTATGGTTAGACCACACAATGAAGTTATGAGTCATGGCCAGAGGAAGGATGCAACAATGCTATAGGCAGGTTTTGCACTGGCAGGAATCACGGCCTGGAACCAACCCTGAGCCTAATTCATACAGAAACCGTGTGGGCAGGTGAGCACACCACAGCGATTGTCCAGTTCCGCTCCACCTGTTGATAGTGGGGATTCTGGCCATCAGAAGGAAGGAAACGGGAAGTCTATTCCAGTATCCCTAGGGGAATGTTCTTGTTTGATGTAGGACCGCTGTATTACGTGAAAATGCGTCCATATTTAGAATGAGTCCAGACTTAGAGTAGACCCACTGAATCACTGAGATTAAGCCCAATGATTTCTGTGGGTCTACTCTATGTGTAGCTAAATCTAATCAAATCCCACTAGTTTAGTAACTTCATGTTCCAAAAGGATGGGATAGTAGACATATTTCTATTTACTTACTCTGTCCCGGGCATTACTGTATAAGCCCTGTTCCTCTTTTATATTAGAAAATCATGACTTACTTTGTAGAACTATTCTTACAGGGATGGCACATTTTTTGGGCCCATCAAAATATAGTATGAGAATCGGATTACCATCAGTACAAGTACGAGTGAGGCCTGCTTCTTTGAAAAGTGAAGATTAATGTTTGTTGTTCTCATCAAGCATCCATGTTTTCAAAACAGGGCCCCAACTGGATGACAGAAAAGGTCTTAAAAGATCTGAACAAGTCAGGAAAGCTCTTTGTTATTCCAGCAACGATTCAGGAGAAGTTTATCATCCGCTTCACAGTGACATCTCAGTTTACAACCCGGGAGGACATCCAGCGGGACTGGACCCTCATCCAGCAGGCCTCAGTGGAGGCCTTCAACCTGCATTTTGCACCACCAAAACCATTCGCCATCTCAGAGCAAGGGGCTGAAGTCCCTAACATGAGAACTAGCCCAAGCCTTGAGTCAAATGGAGTTTTTTCCAGTTTTTTCTCAGAGAAAAGGGACTGCAAAATGTCTCCAAGCAAAATAACAGTGCAGCCTCGAAGACGATCACTCAATTACCCTTTGTGGTCTTCTAGTGAGTGTGCGCCAGTGCCTGAAGATCCTTGCTTGGATGACTGTTTTGCAGAAGGCAACCCAAATGCAGCTAGCTACAGGTTGCCCTCAGTGCTAAGCATATCTGTTCAAAGCAAGAGAAAGACAGTCCGATCTCTCAGTGTGCCAACAGCTGACCTGTGGGAGTCAAGCCATCCAAAGGCAGGCCTAGATGGTTCTGGGAAGCATGGACCTTGCACCAAAGAGAACTTCTTTTCCAAGTTGCCCAAAGAAATATTGATGCTGAAGAAAAATGACCTCAAGAAGCATCTGAAATTTTACAGCATCCCAAGTTTTCCTGAATGCAACATTCAGTGTGGCCTTCAGCTGCCCTGCTGTCCATTACAAGCCATTGTCTAGGGCATCCATTGCACAAGCCTGGCCTGATACCTTCCAGATGTATTGGGCTCAGCTGAGCACATCTGGATGCACCGGCTGGGAGATGTTGGGATTGGGGTCCAACACATCTGAAAACTACCAGGTTGGGAAAGATTTCTTCAACAGGCTTCCTCAAGAAGTGGGAACCAAAGCCTGCTTATTCTTATGCAGTCAAGTAAACAATGGCCCTACTGAATATCTAAAGTAGTAAGTATATTAGTTTCAGAAGACCCTGCTATTTTTTTAATGCCTGCAAATTTAATAAGTTTAAAAGGTAAATAAACTATTTAATATCGGAGTCTGGAGTGTCGCCTTTTGTTTATTATTCATAGCAAATGTGTATGACAGACTGCTAAGCCATCATATGTTAACTAGGGGTCAGCATGTAGGTAGGGGTGGCCTTAATGAACTTGTATAAATCCAGCATGGGCTCCCTCACTTCAAGGTGAGAAACTGGAACACGGTGGGCTGATTGCACCTACAACCAAAAGAGTAAGCCAGTTGTACTTTGGCTTTTGGAAAGGAATGGCAGTACAGTTTATCCGAACCACAGGGTCAAATTCCAAAGTTGCCTCTCCAATATAATCTTACATCATGCATGGCACACTCCTCCTCCTTGGGGGTGTCCTCCTTTCCTTCTCCATATGTCCTATTGCCCCCTTAAGAATCTGCAGGAGTGTTACTGTGTGGTAGGATACATAGTGCTCTGCAGTGCAGGGTCTTTTCTATCACACATTAACACTCCTGCTAATTCGTAAGCGCTGTGTACTCCCTGACCCGACCAGCTCGTTTGTCATTCCTGCCAGAGCTCCTTTGCCCCAGCAGCTGCATCACAAGAAGAAATCCATCTTTTAAATCTTCCTTGGCATGGAGAGGTAGTAAGGAAGCCGCCTCCAATCTGGTGCCCTCCAGATGCTCTGAACTTCAACTCCCATCTGATCTGGTCAGTATAGCCAATTGTGGGGAATCCTGGGAGCTGTAGTCATAAGAAAATAAAAACAAAGAAAAGCCCTGCTGGATCAGACCCGAAGGTCCATCTAGTCCAGCACTCCATACGCACAGTGGCCAGCAAGCTGCCCACAGGATCCCTCAAGCGGGAAGGGTGCAAGACCTCCCCCTGCCCAAGCTCCTCAGCAACTGGTGTATGCAGGCATGTGGCCTATGGCAAAGGAGGTAGCCCCTGGCCAGCAAGGCTAGTAGCCGCTGGCAGCCTCCTCCATCATGACTCTTTCCAGTCCTAATTAAGGTCAACAGATTGGCAACCATCACCACTTCCCATGGCAGTGAATTCCATAGCTTAACTATACACTGTGAGAAGATGTACTTCCCTTTATCTGTCCCAAAACTCCCATCAATCAACTTCATGGGGTGCCCTTGGGTTCTAGTGTGATGGGAAAGGAAGAAAAATGTCTCCGTCTCCACTTTCTCCATACCATGCATTATTTTAAGCACCTCTATCATCTCTCCCCGACTCGCCTTTTCTCTGAGCTGAACAGTCCCAGTTGTTGTAACTGGTCCTCATGGGGAGCTGCTCCAGACCCCTGCTCATTTTTGTTGCCCTTCTCTGCACTTTTCCTGACTCAAAAATGTCCTTTTTCAGTAAAGCAACTAGAACTAGAACGTTCCATGTGCAGTTGAACCAAAGATGGGTATAAGGGAAGTAAGATTTTGGCAGTTCTATTTTCGATTCCATTCCTAGTCATGCCTAGGATGGAGTTCGCCTTCTTCACAGTCGTTGCACACCGGGGTGACATGTTCATGGAGCTGCCCACCCCCCCCCACCCCCAGATCCCTTCCTTGCTCAGTCACTGCTAGCTTGGATCGCACCAGCATCTGCTTGAAGATGGGAAGGTTTTTTTTGCCCCAATGTGCATTGTTCCACACTTGCTTATTTTGAACTGCAAGTCCAAAAACTCTGGAACTTGGAGTCCCCAAACAGGGAAGGCTGCAGCAAGCAGATCATGTCCCTTCCATGGAGATAATCCCGGGTTTGGTGAGCAGCATCTCCAGGGCCTTAGGAGGCACTCCCAGAAAGACCTTAACTAGAGAACCAGAAAAGCTGTGGCTGGGTCACTCAGAGTAGCCTTCCCAATCTGGTGTCCTCCAGATGTTTGACTAAAAATCCTGTCATCTCAGGCTAGCAGTCATACTGTGGGGCTGATGTTCAAAACACCCGGGCAGGGGAAGGCTGAGACAGACCAAGGCTGTGGATTTTCAGGTTCATATTGAGTTTATCATGAGAATTGTGGAGAGCATTGTGTTTTATTCCTCTTAATTACAAAGATTGCACCTCTCTCCAACTAAGCTACAGCCTCACTGCAGCCTTTCCCAAGTTGGTGGCCTCCAGATGTTTTGATCTTCAACTCCCACCAACTTTAGTCAGCACAATAGGAATCCTTGGAGTTTCCAGCTGGACTAACTGATGGATGAATAGTTTGGCCAGTAGCCTGAGGCAGCTTCATAAGGTACTGGGAGTTTAATATTCTAACCACCAAGCAGTGAGAGGCACCAGAACTCCACCAGAAAAGCGGGCAACTTCACAGCAAAACACACAAAAATGGATGGTTAATGTGTCAAGGAGCGGGAGGGTGTCCTCATTTGACTTGCACTATTCTTTTCTCTTTTCTTTTGAATAAGTTTTATTCTTAATGAACCTAACAAAAAAGAAACTAAAAACAAAATCAGTCATTGAGAACATTGGACCTGCTGGGTCAGCTCCCCACATTTTCTCTTTTTATGTTAAACTATAAACATATTTAAATCTATGCATAGTCCCATTTCTCTAGCCAATGATAAAAAGAATCCCAAGTTTGATAGAAGTCTGTATCTTCTTTCTCCTTCAGAGACAAAGTCAATCTGTCCATTTCTGCACAGTCCAAGATCGTTTTCAGAATCAGTTTGTCAGTAGGTGGCTATTTGACTTACACTATTAAGAGGTCAGAATAAACTAGAGATGCCCTTTGTTATTCCAGCCACAACAAGACAGATTACCACTGAGTTACAGCACAGGAGGGCATTCCGTCCTTGCACGGATATGTAAAACTGATGCATAATACAGAAAGGTTTTGTCCAAGAGTGCTGTAGCTTCACAAGAGCAAGCAGTTTGTCTGTTGCTTTACAACAGTTCATAAGCTGTTCACAGAAAATGGGCAATTCATGGTCCTATTCAGAAGCCGCTCTCCAAACTACCTCGCAGCATCTGGGGTGAGGGCGGCTGACTAACAGGGGAAAGGCACTGCGACCCAGGCAGACGGGGTGTGCCAAGAGCAAGCCCAGTACACAGCCCAAGGTCAAGCTGGACTTGAAGCCAAGTCCATACAGACAGGCAGCTAGTCCAGAGCAGGCTGAGGGTTAGAGAAATGAGGAGGCAGACCACCCAGGGAGAGAAGCGGTGCAGACGGGTCCAGGTGTTGCAGGTACAAGAGCACAGGCAGGAGACGGGAGTGGAGTTCTGAGTCTAGCGGACCAGGAGGGCTTCACCAACATCAGGAGACCTTCGTTGCTGAGGGAGCTTCTGAGGGGAAGAGCTGGTTCTTATATAGAGTCCCAGGTGGAACTCATGAGAGCCCTGGCAGCTGCAGTGGACCGAGGACAGAATCCTGCAACTGCCAGGGCTGCTGTGCCGGCCCTTGGCCAGCAGAGGGAGCCCTGAAGCTGCCTTGGGTCTTGACAGTACCTCCCCCTCCCTAGAAGGGGGCTCCATGCCCCTTCATGGCCCTGGTTTCTCTGGGTATGTTCAGTGGAAAGCCTGGGTCTAGCCTGGGTCAACTGGAGCAAGGCTGGAGCAAAACCAGAGCATGACAGAAGCAAGACTGGAGATACCGGAACAGGATGGGAACAAGACTGGAGCAGGGCTAGAGCAAGGTTGCAGCGAGACTGAAGCAGAGCTGGGGTGACTGCAGCAAGACTGGAGCAACATTGGAGGAGCTGGAGCAGGGCTGGGGCAGCGCTGGTTCAAGGCGGGAGCAAGCAGGGCCCATGAAAATAGGCAAGATCCAGGAAGAAGAGCAGGGTCAAGAACAGAGTCTACAAACAGGAGCAACTTCAAGCATGCAGATCACAATGAGGAAGGAGCACTGCAGGAGAACTTCATTGCGGAGGGAGCTTCTGAGGGGAAGAGCTGGTTCTTCTATAGCTCTTTCCCAGGGCAGCTCAGGTGGAACTCATGAGAGCCCTGGCAGCTGCAGTGGGCTGGGAACGGAATCCTGCAACCACTGGAGCTGCTGTGCCGGCCCTTGGCCAGCAGAGGGAGCCCTGAGGCTGCCTCGGGTCTTGACACTACCCCAAGCGTAGGGCTTTTTCTTACACCATTTCCGAATTCTCCTTCCCATTTGATTTTGGACTCCTACTTCAAAGATGCAAGTTGCCAAATCCCTCTTGGATCAGAATCTGGAACAATAAGAAAGAATTATAACAGACAGTACCAAGAAGAAGCTCTTAGCACAGGATATTTACAAAATTAAGAGTGACATTATATGCTGTTCTCTAAGAGAAATTTGTTCCTCCTTAAAGCACAGAAATACTCTGCATTTTTTCTACAACATACTAATAGGACTGCTTCCTTATGAGTCGATTTGTGTGAAAGCTCCAGTTCTGACGCTGAAAACTCCTTGGGCTGAGCAGGAGCTCGGAGGTACCTTGTTCTGCACTCTGTGTGTGGCCCGTGTGTACCTGCTCCCAACTGGAGGGCCTTGGAGGTTCCAGTGAAGTGCAGGGTATATACTGCAAGCTTGAAGCCTTCCTATCCCTCCTGCAAGGAGTATTCTGTTTATGTGAATGGAGGCCCAGTGCGGTGTACACAAAGACGCACGGAGATCCCCATCACTTCAGCAGTGGGGATGCCTGCATGAGTCAGAAGCTCTGCGTTGCCATTCACAGGAATTTCTGTTCTCCTTTAGGGGGATGAGAGAGAGAGAGAGAGAGAGAGAGAGAGAGAGAGAGAGAGAGAGAGAGAGAGAGAGAGAGAGAGAGAGAGAGAGAGAAGATGCCATTTTGGAGCCTGGAATCCCACACTGTGCAGAGCAAGTATAAGAAAAGAATGGGAAATTTCTGCCTATGTGGGGAGTTTGAGTAGCTTGATTAAAGCCACAGGCTTGACTGATCATAAGCACCATTAATTTCCACAGAACGTGCTTCCAATATTGTAGACTAAAGCAGTAAGAGAGGGGTTAGTGTTCAGAGGCAGTGGAAGTAATTTTGTTTAAAAGATCTTCAGTATCATTACCAAAACATTCCTAAACAGGTGGCAAGTTGGCATTTCAGATTCTAGACACAAGGATGTGATCACTTCCAAATCAATTACTGGTAACTTCCTAAAATTATTTGAAAACATATTCTGATTGAGTTGGGTGTATTACAGTTTCAGACTGTTGTTGCATATTGAATTATAGATGTCCTCTGTCAGGGGTATGTATGTCTTTGCTTTGTCATCCAGGAAATACAGGGTGTCTCTGATCACTGCTGGGTTGAATCCTTCTTCTCTAAGCTGCACCTTTTTATATTTAAATGTGCCTGTGGTCCCAATGGCATCCTACAACAAAGAAGAACAACACACTGTGTTGCAAGATGCAAATTGCAATGTAATACATCTCAGGCCAGTAAGAACAGCCCCTTTCCTAGTCACTTGTAGGTGAGTAAAAATTATCTACAAGTGATTAAGCAGGACAATTTTTTCATAAGTTGGAAGAGAGTTAGGAATTTCCCTCTATGCTACCAATGAGTCACAAATAAATAACCCAGCTGTCTGTTTCGGTTGACTGCTAAACATTTTGATGGACTAGTAACATCCACTGACTTGTTCGAGGGCAACAAAAAAGTGTGCAATTCGTTGCTTTCTGGAAATATTCTGCAACTTGGAAAGAAGGAGCCATTTTTCAGAGGCAGAGTATGAACAACTACGGCAAATTGCATGCTACACTGCAGGGCCCAAACATTCCCACGCTTGGTATACACAAGGCTCGGCAAGCTGGGTTGCGGGTCTGACTCGGTCCAGGTGAAGCTGTATAGGATTGCAGCCTTCGCTCCCCAGGGGACACATTTCAAGTTCTGTGCATGCCTCAGTCCTGGACACTCTGAGCAAGACGACTCCATAACCCACAGGAAAAGCAGAATTCTCATGCCTAAGAAACAGATGAACCCCAAGCACCCATTCTCCCAACAGGGGAGGAACTTGGGCAGGTAGGCATACCTGAATCCTCACAAAATGAGGTCTTGCATAAGTGGGCAGATAATCTGCAACATGTTTGTAAAGAATTTCCTCACTGAACTTGCTACCCTCCCTTAGTTGAATGGATGCCATTCCTATTCTGCCCTCGTGACCTGCAAGAGAGTTGTTAGGACAATCATATGCTTCTCCAAACTATTTCCCAACAAGCTGTTGAAACAGTTTAGCGTTCATTTATTTAACAAATAAAGCACTATAGGACATATTTCAACATATAAAGGGAGCAAAATCAAAAGCTGGCAACATTATACACAATTCTAATTTCGCTATGCATGGTTTTGGAGGTCATGACAGATGTCCCTGGCTCTTAAATGGCTCCCCGAAGTCCAGCTTCTGAAGACAATTGTTTGACGCAGCTAAGACAGGCCACACATTTCTGGATCACATTGGTGTAGCTGAGTGTGCGCGTGTGTGGGAAGCTCAACTCTCCCCTCCTCAATCTCGATCCATTTCAGGACTGTGCACACTCAATTAGCCACAAAGGAGAAATATCACACTCAGCTACAGCGACGCAGTGAGGTCAGTAAGCAGCATGGTGCCCACAGACAGGATGCTGGTAACAAACTGGGCATGAGGCCTGCTGCGGGCCACCTTTTGGCAGCGCTGGAAAAATATTAACAGCCTGATTCTAGGCACATTTATTCAGAGAGATATTCTACTCTATTCCATGAGACTTACTGCCAAATAAGCCTGCACAGGTTTTGTCAAAATGAAAGAAATCCATTAGCTTCTTCTTTTTAGTTGACTTTTTAAAAGAATAAATTCAGCTGAAGTGCCGATTTTATTTTAGCATATGTAGTTTTACAGTATATTGAGGGTTGTTTTTAAGAAACCAAGCTGTGAAAACCTGCATAGATGATTGTGAAAGTTACCATTCCAAAACAAGGGAAAGACAGTCTTTGAATAAACTCATCTGTTTCTTTTTTAAAAGAACATCTAAAAAATGGTTAAAGTGGTTAAGAATGCAAAATCCCATATCCATTGCATCTGGTTTCTAACTGAAGGTGCACATCCTAGAAGATGCTGTTACAGGTAGGTTTCATAGATAGGTCTTGAACCCCACATTTCCCACCCTGCAGCCTTTTAATCTTATTTTACATCACGATCATTTCCATCTCTCTGCATATCATCCTCCAAATCTATGGGGGAGGGGGGAAGAGAGATCCATTAAAAAGGTGTTCTTGTCCTTCCACCAGCAGGCAAAGATTTTTTCAAGCAGCCCTTTTCAATCTGTTGCTTTGCTTTGCTTTGCTGGTCGGGAGAATATCTATTTCTTATTGTTTTAACTGATTTGCTTTTTTATGTTTTCATCAGAGTTTGCTTGCAATCTGTATTTTATTTTTGTTAGCTGCCTTTGGCACCATTTTTGGAAGGGTAAAATTCAATCCATTCATAACAACAACAAAATATGCAAAGACTCTGGAATAATCCCAGGGGCCAGGCTCTGGCAAGGTCCCAGGGGCCAATGGATTTGAGCAGCGTTGACACAGCAGGAGGCAGGCAAAGGCACCGTTGTGAGAACTTGGTTGCATAGTTTTGCTGTGAGCTGGCATTCTGTATCTTTTGCCTTTTGCAAAGGAACACCTGGCACAGAGTGTGTTTGCTCAAGGTTTTGTGGCTTTAGTCTCCACATTTTAATACACCGGATCAATGTAATCTTTTACAAGACTGTGCCTCTGTACACTGAAAACCAGATACCAGAGATATATAATCTACTTAAAAGAAAACAAGTTTTGAAATTGCTTATGGATAAAACAGTGAAGGTTACCATTAATTTTTCCTGTCCGCTTTAGCAAAGAAGCAGTTTGTAATTAAGCATCTAACTCTCCTACTTGCTTTTGTAAATCCACTGGAAGCCACGCCACACTTCCTACATCTGCTGTAACGTAATCTGAGAAGAGGATTGGCAGCCCTGGACTATTGCACAGTTCAATTGCTAGCAAAGTCTTTCCCAAGGCAATTACGTGTGTTTACATCTTAGACAGAGGTGCATGAAAACAAAGAAAGCACTGTTTTAGATACAAATCATATTTACTGTATGTATAAATTCATTTTTATACCGCCCAATAGGCAAGGCTCTCTGGCAGTTGACAAAAATTAAAATTCAACAACTCACACGCACACACACTAATTTAAAGGAACAAAGCCATAATTGCAGTTGCTATAATTCGGCACAGAAGCATAGCAGCTTATCTCTTGATGGCAATAAGATTCCATCTGCTTGGTACTTTCTCCCTTTTACCAATATCACATTTACTGAAAACATACACAATTATCCTATTAACGAAGACGCACTACTCTATTAATATAATGCCAGTCACTGATTAAGGCCTTTTCTTTTAAACATCTGCAAAACAGCATTTAGTAAAAGAATCCTTTGCATACCTGCCTGGGAGTAAATCCCACCAAACTCAGTGTAACTTACTTCTGAGTAGACATGCCTTGGTCAATCAGTTTCTAGGGAATTACTCTTCTAATTCATCCAAAAGACCCTCTAGTATTACTTATTGGCAAATAAAAATTGTTAAACATGATCTTGCTGTAATGCAAGCGTCTTTCCAATAATGCGAAAAGTGTTTGTTTATGCTGCAACTCCTTATTGTGTCACTTCCCATGGAAACTGTTTTTCCTTCCAGTTCTAGTACCTGCCGTGATGCTGGCTGCACAGTTTGCAGGTGAGTGCTGGGAGTCACCTTAAGCAAAGCCGTACAGGTGCCTGCAGCAGCCACGGCGATGGAAAAAAGCTCCTCCTCGCTTTCCTTCCCTCCTCCGTGACACCTCAGAGCTGCCAGCTGAGGCGAGGAAGTGCTTTGTTCGCCATACCTGGCACAGTCCATGGCACCTCTGGGTGTAGCGTGCGGCACCCTTGTGTTATCAAGGAACTGGGAACTGCCAAGAGGGTCCAGCTTTTATGAAATAACAAACAAATGCAACGGAAGTGGGCAAAGAGCCAACCCACATGAGGCATCTTTGCTTCAGATCGTCAGGAAGTGCAGCCATTTCAGGCTGATGAGTATTCCTGATTGGTCTCCTTCCTATATTAGTGTGTGTGTGTACTAAAAGCCTGCAAAGGACATGTGTGTAGTGACCTTATGTCTGCATTTCACATTTCTTCAAAAGCTGCTCCAGGAACTTGAAAAGTCAGAAAAAAATGCAGGTCCCTCAGGCTCATGTTTTGCTGGAGATTATAAGCATTTTAATTCTCTTTAAGAGGACAATATTGGGGAAAAGATATGGAAAACTGATCATCACCCAGGGTTTTGATCTATTGTGGAAAAAACTAAAGTGCTGCTTCTATTATTGTATTCTTCCTGTACACGAACGTGAAATTGGTTTTGACACTCCAGATAGTTAGTAGGGAGTAGCCTGCAATTCACTGAGTTGGATTGTGCTGTATTATTAAAAGCCAAAACAGCAGTTCAAAACAACATTGCCTGGCGCTGCCTTTTATCAACAAATAGATGAAATGTAGTGGATGTACCTTTGGGAACTTGTATGCAGAAGCCATTTTCATCTTGGACAGGTTCATCTTTCTCCACATCGTATTTAATCAGGTCAAAGTGCATTATTTTCTAATGAAAAAGTGAAAAGATTTATTTAGAAAATACATTTTCTATATATAGACTCAAATACTGTTTACAAAAGAAAAAAGCATTATAATTCCCATGGGCATAACCCGCTGCTGTGGATGACTTGTAAAATATCTATTATTTATTTCTTACATTTGCAGCCCATGGTTTTCCTGCAAGGCATCGCAGGCAGCTTACAACTTCCTCCTGCCATCCATTTAAGCCTCATAATAACACTGTGAGGTAGGCCGGCTGGGAGTCAGTGACTGGCCTGAAGTCACCCACTGAATTCCACAGCCAAGTGGAGACTGGATCAGATCTGCCGCGTCCCAGTGGAACACTTTCAGTGTTATGCCATGCTGGCTCTCAAAAGGACTGCAAAATTAGTAGGATTTTTTTTCCTTTTTAAGAGACAACGCCAAAGGCCCAGCACTAGTTCACGCAATTCCATGCCTACCGCCCCTGCTAGAAACTTAAGGCTAGAAAGATAAGCAATTGAGCAAAACAAACTGAAAGATTCACCCAACCCTACTGGAATCACCCAAGCCTTCCAGGGCAAAATTATTTTATTCCTCAATTTGCTTGTCTATGCTCCCTAACACAGGTGACAGTTAGTTTTAATTTCTGGAGACCGGGAAGTAGCCTAAACCTCAAGAATGTGAACTCCTGAGAGCTATTGTCCAAGGCGGTGCAGAGTCTGTAAATGCCCAGAATCAGGTACCAGAAAAGTCTTGACTGTCCTTGGTAAATAGGAACCCCCAGAGCCCCTTTGTCCTTACCTTTTGCAAATAGTTTAATCTCCCCACGGCTCCAATTTTTCCAGTATAGCTCACAAAGCTAATATTGCTTTCAGTTGCACCGTAAAGCTCAACAATATGTATGTCTCCAAATCTTTGGAGGAATTCCCTCCAAACTTCAGCCCTTAAGCCGTTGCCCAAGGCAATTCTGACTCTATGATTCCGATCATTGTCTTTCTTGAAAAAGAGGAAGGGAAAAAGTCACAGTTCCGGAAAGGCATATGAAGTTTTAGAGAGAGTAATCGAGGGCTTCTCTACATGAGGTGCTTCAGCTGGTTCTGTACTGAGACGTTCTTCTGGTTGCTGCTGCTTTCCCTCTTCTCCTTCCTTCTCTTCCTTCATTTCAATCTGAGAACGCCTATGAAACTCAAAATTTCGCATGGGCCCACTGACTCGAAAAGTGAGGGGACCCCTGACTTAGCACATTGGTCCCTCCTAGTATGTCCTCCGGGGAGTCACAGTCCAGGACACCAGCCTGGAGGAGGCTGGAGCACAGGAATACGTGCAAGTAGGATGCCTCTCTTGTCTTCAGGCTTCCCTTGATGAACATGGATGCATGAAGCAGGCATCCACTGTTATTTGCCTGAATTTGAATCGAACCCTGAGCCCCCCAGATAAGGGGGATTCCCGGTCCTATCGGGGCCTTTACTTATGTTTAGGCAGACGCAAGGAAGAGCCCTCTTCAGATCTGCTCAGCTCAGGGACGTCGGGGCTTGTGTGTGTGCAGCGGCTGGGGACATGGCCAGCGCGTGTTCAGCCTTTGCCATCCTCGCACCGCAGCGCACGATTCAGGCCCTACCAGCTGAGCTGGTCTTTAGTGTTGATGTTCCATCCTTGCCATCCCTCGTGCAATGGGCGATGCTCAGGGAGAAAGGGCAGGCACTACACCAACGCGGAGTCTTATACTGGAGATGCCGCGAAAGCTCGCCCGAAGCCTACCATGTCGGTTTTTTCAGCACCAGGTGCAGCCCTTTTTATCCTCCCAGGCAATTTAAGAACCCTTTCTAATCTTTTAGACTGCTGTGCTGCTTTAATGTGCTGGGGTGTATTTATGCTTTGCTGATTTTATCTTGGTTTGATGATGCAGGGTTTTATCCATTGTGTTGCTGGCATTTTATGTTATTAAGCTATGTGCACCGCCCAGAGAACTTGAGTGAACGAGTGGCTTTCTGCACAATTAATTAATTAATTAATTTCCCTGGCAGGTTTCAGCTGCCTCATACAATGCAAGGTGCATCATAGGGTCTCAAAATGCTCATTCGTTATTCAGAGACTTAACTTGGTCGTGTTTATTCTTTACAGGAACTTGGCACGCTTTTGTGTGTCGAGCACCTGAATCTGGGCAAAGGACAACTGGGTTTAATCCAGGCTTGCATAACTTGTGATCCCCTGAGCCAAGCACAGCTCACCTGTCAGGGACTGCCCCCTGCCACAGGGGTGACCACCCCTTGTTTCTGCAGTAGAAAGAGCAGAGTGGAAAACCCAGAACAAGACACAGGAAACTTCTCAAGCCTCTGACTGGTCAGCAGGCAGGGTTGATACAATTATATTTGGCTTGGTAGGTGCCCAGTTGTGTGTGGGGCATCGTCTATACACTCACAGATTTAGTGGATGCCCTTACCTTAGGAGTACAACAAATTTCCCTATCAGGGAATGAAATAAAGTGATCCTTCAAATTAGTGTTCAGAAGTTATTGCCTAAAGAAATCAGTGGTTTGGTTTGCTCACATTGCTAATCCCTGGTATGGGCTAGTGAATTTAGGTTGTTGTGATGTGACCATGGTTTATTCACAACAAACAATCCAGAAATAAAATGCCAATAAAATCTTTTCTAAAATTAAACAATGGTAACACAGAATTATAATTCATGGTTTGTTGCTGGGTTGTGAATGTTGGGTTGTTTAAACCGTGGATTGCTGCTGCATGAAAAAACATAGCTGTTCATGGGTCGGGTTGTTTCATCAGGACACAGAGGTGATGGGCAAAGAATGCCTTCCCTGCAAAAAGTACATGCCAGCACTAAAGCACCACCAAGGCATTTGGGAATATAGGGAGGGAGTGGCCAAGGAAGAGGAAAGCAAACAACCCAGGGACTGAGAAAACAAGCTACAGTTTATGATCATCTGCCAGACAATCTCAGAATATGGTGAGAAACCATGGGTTAGCTAAACTGTGGGCTACCATTATATGTGCAAAAAGCCAACAGTATGACAGGAAGCCCGTGAAGAAATTTTAAAAGTCAGGTAACTAATCAAGGCAATTACAACTACAGTAGAACAAGGAGAAAAATAAAAGCCAGAAGGAAGTCATTACCCTGGGTGTATGGCATAAATAGCAAAGTACTTCCCCAATGTACTGTATGACACTGACATTGTATTTCCTACAATCATCCCAAAACTGGGAAGCAGAAAATTTGGAGCGCAATGCTAGAGTAGCACCTATAGGTAAAGGAGAAACAGTATCTGGTTCCTAATAGATGCATATTGAGGGACTGCTTTTCTGAGCAAGGCCCGTCTACATGTTGCTTGGGACAAAGTCCCAGAACTCTGGTCTGGACCTCTTCAGAATGGAGTTCCACGCTTATGAATCCTCCCCTAAACAAAGTGCTCTCTGTTTGTAGTAACTTAAGAACACTAAGAAGGAAACTCTGCCAAGTCTCATTCCACAAGTTCAGTTCTGCGTAATGGCTGGAACCACTTGCGGACTTTCTTCCAGGCCCTCCCTGAAAATTGCATTTATGCACCAATTTGATTTGGACTGACAGAGCAGTCTGGGGAGTGATGCCAGAAAAATTTGAAAAGTATTTTTGAAAAGTACATTTAAAATTTGAAAAGTACATCATAACAGTCCTACACTGATGTCTACAAATAAAGTCCCAAAATGCAGACAGCTGCATTGACCCATGTCAATGAAGAGCATAATCTTACAGGTGTTAGAAAGGAAGAAAACGCTCTACAACTTCCAGCATGCTCACGGTGGCATTTTCATCTCCAGGAGCAGGTTTTTTGGAAAGCCTTTAACTCAGTCTTTCAAGGCCAAGTCACCCCAGAATATTTTGAATAGCACCAGAGAGCTATTTGCTGGAGCTGGAAAAATTCCTTTCCCCCAGCAGCAGTGAGAAGTGTGGTGAAGCTGAGAGAGAATGGGAAGTCCCCAGAGAGGTCCGCCTGGCACCGTCGTTATTTGTTTTTCGGCACCAGGCAAAGACCTTTTTATTCAAATGTCATTTTAATTGTTAATAGTATTTATTCAGTTTATTCTTTGGGCAGGGCGACTTAATTTATACTTTTAATTTATATTATTCTATGGAATTTTATTTATGTGAGCCACCCTGAGGCTTCGGCAAATGGGGCGGCATAGAAGTCTCCTAAATAAATAAAGTCTGAGGAGCTGGGCTAGCACATGAGAGCATCGTCCCTGCTAATCAAACGTCCCAGCCCTGGCCTGTTCACACCACTGGGCATGGTTTGAGGGACTGTCGTGATGTGTGCCTGCAGCTCAGAATTTCCCACTGCACCGCTGGGCTCAGCTCTGCTTCCAGTGGGCTCCTTCCAGAACAAGGCATGTTATGTGTTTTATAAAGTCCCTTACCTTGCATTATGCTGCTGTGTAGCCTGAGCAGGAGGGCAGCACTGTGAAATAGCAGAAGAGCCGTATAGATGACATCCTCTGAAGTGATGCCACAGGTTTCAGCCAGACCACGAACTGATCATGTACGTTCATGTGTAATTATTGCAGATTTTGGGAGACCTACAGGAATTAAAAATGGCCAACTTCCTATCATACAAGTGTTCCTGTGAGAAGATAGTGACATCCAAAAACCAACAGGAATGGCTTTAACAAAGCTTTAGAGAAGTCTTTATGCAGCAATTCATCTGCTGTACCATGAACCATGGACAAATCTCTCCACAATGTAGACAAAGACATGTACACATGTTGGTCAGGGACAAGGGTCATAACTTAGAAAATGAGGTGGTGGGGAGGAAAACCAACTTAGAAGCTTTCATGAAATGGCTGTTTCCTCTCCGTAGGGATACTTAACTGTGCAAGTCCCCACTTAGGGTCTGTAGAGTGGCAACTCAGGCACAAGTTTACCATCTCAGTAAGAAAATAGGCCAGATCTGAGTAAACTTGGCAGAGAATCTCTGGAGGGCCACATTCAGTGGTGAGCAGGACTGAAGGCAAAAGAGGCAAATCAGCCTCTTGAACCCCCCAGAGCAGCACAGTTTAGCTTAATGCTCCTACTGTGAGGCCCCTGGAGGGGCAGTTCAACCCTTCAGAATGGTGGGGGGGGGGGACTGCACAAAAGCCAGGAAACCTCTAAACTATCAGAGGCTGGTGTTAAAGGGGAAGGGGCACCTTGGAGAGCCCAGACTTGGTCCACAGGCAGGGCAGATTTGGTTTGCAAACATCCGATGCCCACTAAGTTGCTTCATACAATATGGAAGCCAGCTGTGTTTTGGCTAATGGGGCTAATCCAGTAAATAAATAAATAGCACACCCCATTGTGGAAAATTATCCTTTTCCTCAAGATCTTCAAAATGTCACTGAATTTTTGTAGAACATCAATTCAATTTCATCATACAATATTTTTAAACCAGGCACACTTCCTTAATCAATTAACAGGCTGCTTTAAAGTCTGCTTTAAAACAATGAATATCTCATATATGCAGCTTTACTATACCTGTGGTCCCAGAGGTATAAATGTAAAGGGCAGGACTTTTAATTGTGATGTTTGATCTCCAAGACACTGGAACAGGCTCATCCGAAGCAGCATCCATTTTGTCCACAAAACTATCTACCCCTTCTGCGTCAGATGTCCTACTTAAGTAATAGACAGCCACGTTTTCTTCTTTCAAGATTGGCAATATTTCTTCAATGGCTGCGAAGAAAGGAAGAGTTCTTGTAATGCTTGGATGTTGGAAGCTAAGCAAAGGCAAAAAGGCCATGCTGTGCTGGTGTCACAATTTAGATTGGTTTTCCCAACTTGGTGCCTTGAGATGTTTTAGATTACAACTGCTGACATTCCTGACCCTTGGTCATGCTTGGGCTGATGGGGATCGAAGTCTAAAACATCTGAAGGGCACTAGGTTGGAGAAAGCTGGCTTAGACTAACAGGACTTTCAAAGTTGGTCCTCATTACTTTGCAGGACATTTTCCTTGTTGTGCCCTTGCTTCATCCTCATCTGCACAAGCTGCACTGCAACCACGCTGCCTACTTACTGCAAACAAAAAAGATTTGACTAGTTACATCTGGATTTTTTTTACTCTGCCCTATCCCACAGGAGATACAGAACTGAACCCATTGCACACGTCTTACCAGTATTAGTTTAAGTTGCTCACAAATACTCATCATTCCCAAGAGCTTTGCACCATTTTTCATTGCACTATACTGGAGATGTGCAACTATGCAATGGATGTCTAAAACAAAAGAGCTACAACAATCTTAGGTGGAAGATGGACTTTTGAAGAAGCACAGCAGTTTCCACAGTAAAACAGCATCATACAACGTCTGTTCACAACTATTTTGTAATTAAGCAAAGGACTCAAAACCAGGGGAAAGACACATTTTCCACTAAATATCTGGAAAACTACTAGCCAATATAGAATCTAACAATTAAAATTTCATAGCTCTTCTTTGTCACACTAAAAGGAGCCTTGTTCCTTATGAAAGTACACAGGTTCCCATTGTTCTCAAGTGTATCTAAGTGTGCTGAGCTATTTCCAAGAAAAGGGTGATTCAATAACCTAGGGAATTTCCTTGTTCTTTCATGCATCTTTTCTTAAATGCTCACATAACAACATGAATTTTTCCCATGTTATTTGTGTGTTCCTATTCCATCCATTCATGAAAGCTGCCAAAAAGCCACAGTGAGCATTGTTCTCTTTTTGGAAGGCACATCCAAAACAGGAGGAACTAATTAATGATGTATTATGTCTCATATTGCATCTTGCTGAATTGCAAGAATTGATTAGCTAGAAAAATGTGTCTCTCTTCAGTTGAGTTTTAACACCTTATCTAACTGCATGTAATGGAGAATCTTGCAAGAGCAAAGAGAAGTAAACCAGTAAAATTTAAGTACAGCTGAAGCTCAAAATTAAGTGTCCTACTCCAGACTTGCAGGTTGATAGAAGGGAGGTTAGCTTCCAGGCACAGCAAAGCATTTGGAACACAACATGGAACCAAAAAGATTTGTCTCAGGAACTTAAACTAAGCAATTTCACACCTCTAGTATACACATTCACCCAACGCTGGGCCCCGTAAAGTAGCTGTGCTAGAGATTTAACTCGAAATACTCCAAGCACTGATGGTATGTAGTTGCCTTCTTTTGTGCAGAAAAAGCATGTGATAATTTTAGAACTCTGAGATGCCTTTTCCACCACATATCTCTGATGGCTGACCAAGATCCTGTTGATTGAAATACCATTCCAAGGTATTTGTTTAACTGGCTGTTTCTCCAACTGCCCTCTATGGACCCCATGACTTCCAGAGAACACCATGACTCTAGCTTTGTTGTATTACGTAGTCAGGTGTTCCTCAGGGCAATACTTGGGGAATGACCTTAGAAATCTCCTTAAGCTCAATCTAGCTTGGGATAGGAGTACAGCAACATTTGCATATGAAAGGGTGGAGAGAGACTTTGTGGACAATTTAGGAGCATGGCAAACTGGAGTTGTTAGACCCTTGACAATGTCATTAATATAGAGATGAAGCAATGCAGGACCCAGGATGCAGCCTCGTCTGACTTCCGTTGTGACAAGCACAGGTCCAGTGTTACGCGGCTTTGAATGCCACCCTAGTCTATTCCAAGGCAATACTTTTATCTCAGTGTCCTTTTGGGTTCCAGACTTAGCACTTCCACTCTCTTTAAATGTCCTTACCTGCCTAAAGTCCTGACTTCATTTCCACCCGGGCCCAGCCTGTGGTTCTTGTTGCTCCTCCAGTCCTCTGGGGAGGTCTGTGCATTTCTGGAGGGTCTAATGCTTAGCCAGGACCTTGTGCTCTCACAGTCTAAATTGGGATTGATTCTCTTATACTCCAGGGGTGCTGGAGTTAGAAGTATGGCATCTACAGATTTAAAATTTCCCAGGGTACCTAATTTTATAAGCCTTCGTACCTCACCACGCCCATGTGCATCTTTTGCTCTTCTATTGTTTGGTTCCTCTGGTTCAAAACAGATTTTGAAACAATAAAAAGAAAAAAATTGGAATGCTTCCAAAAAGCACTGCAATCAACAGGGACTGTGCGGTTATTCTATCTTTCCTTCCTTCATGGATTGTCTACAGTGAGCTAAGACAGAGGAAGTGGCGGGAAAACATGGAAAGTTTACAAGCAGAAAAAAGACAAATCTGAAAGCCCCGTGAAATGCTGTAAATGAAAATTTTGTGAATAAAGCAGAAGGATTGCATAATAAAGCCCTCCCATGACTAGAGGCAAAAGTGAAATTGAATGTACATAACTCAGTTTCCTCACCCACCACGTTTTTTAAGTTGTTCTGCCTTCTGAATGATTATTGGTGGCTATTGTCTGTTCTGTTTTGTTTTTTTCCCGTTCTCCATCCAGACAGCGCAGGGCTGCAGCCTCCCACAAGCTGGCACCCTCTAGGTCCTTTGCACGTCATCGCCCATCAGCCTCAGCCAGCGCGGGCCAGAGGCACGAGTCCCGGGAGGTGTGTGCAGAACCTTGGCAGGGCAGCAAGCGGGGCGAGGCCGGTGGCAGGACCTGCCCCGGCTGCTTCCCAGCGCCAGCTGCCCTCCCTCGGCGCCCGGGCGCGGCGGCCGAGCGGGAGAGGCGCAAGAGGCCGCACCCCTGCCAGGCCCCGGGCCAGGCGCTGCCCCAGACGGAGCGGCTGAGGCAGGCCAGCCACAGCCACACGCAGGCCGGCTCGTTGCCCGGGAGCAGGGCCACGGCGCCGCCTTGCCGCGCCCCGGCAGCTGCGCCGCTCCACCTGCGCGCAGGTGTGCACCTCGTCCGCGAAGAGCAGCAGCGGCTTGCGCGGCGCCCGGCGCTCCAGCCGCACGAAGAAGCGCCGGTCCTGGAAGAGGTGCGGGCACGCCGCGCTCCCCAGCAGCAGGGGCGGCGGCAGCGGCAGCCCCACCAGCGCCGCGCAGAGGCCCGCGAGCATGACGGCCGCCCTCGCGCCCGCGTCCCCCGCTGCTCCGCGCCGCCCGCCGCGGCCCCGGCCTTGCCCGCCGCTCTTAATGCTTGGCCTCGCCGCCTCGCCCCGCACGACGGGCCGCCCCCTTCGCAGCGCATGGATAAAGAGTCCGGGCGCAAACCGAGGCGCTTTTAGGGCGCAGTCCTGTCAAGTGTGGACAGAAAAGAGGCCCACAGCGCGCAGGATGCGCCAAACGAAAACCCGCCGCCGCCCGAGCGTGCCTAGTGTTGCTCCAGGGTCAGCCAGGCTGTGCGCCTGAGCCGGATTTCAGCCTGAACGGCAAGGGAGCTGTCTGTGGTGCTGAACGGTAGCGCCAAACCATCGTCAGCACCACGGACAGCTCCAGGAAAGTCCGGATAACGCCCGGGGCTGCCATGCTGTCCTGTTGCAGCCACCAGGCCGCGCTGCTTACTGTGTCAGAAGCTTCTGCTGTCCACAGTCTCCCTCCTTAGAGGAATTCGACTGAGGGCTACATTAGGGGCTTAGGACCAGGCTGCATGTAAAACTCTGGAGTTTTGGTCACTAGAAATGAAATAATAATAAAGTTCACGAAAAACTATGTAGGTTATGCACACAGCCTGATCCTATGTGTGTTAATGCCTAAGTTAGATTGAGCTCAATGGGGCTTACTCCTAAGAATCTGCAGCCAAAAACTGAGCAAAGGCATCTAAGGATTTGTGCAAGGGCTGAAGCACCCGCTGTGGTTCCCCAGAACAGCCATTGCCTTTTCTCCAGCCCTCAGCCTCTTTCCTTCATCACGGGTGAGTTCCAAGCCTTTGTGCAACTTTTTCTCCTCTCCCAAAGATTGAAATACCTCTCCCAAGGTTTACTTGTTGGCAGTATGGAACGTTACGCTGACATATGCTGGTCCTTGCAGTATTTTGCCCCTGCCCAGAGCTTCTCTGAAATAAAATTCAGGCTGAGAGAAGTGCTGCACCTCTGAACGGAAGTAATTAGCACAGTTGAATAACTAGACTTCTAGCAGAGTTCAGAGAGGAAGGTTACTTAGGCAAAACTCGGGTCAAAAATAGAACTGGGTGTAATGTGACAAGAAAGTAAATTGCCCTAAGTGCAGTAAAAAAGGTGGAAAGTTGCAAATTTCAGAAAGATGCATTTGAAATTAGTAGGGAGCAATTGCATGTCTTCCTGATGTTGTGGAGGGGAGTAGGATCATTTGAAGCCCCAGCTCCAAGATCCCTCACTCTCAGAGCTGGGACTCTGAAGGCCAAGTCCTGTCTTGCTGGGGTGAAAGAACAGCACTGGCTATTTCCCCTGAGGCTGGAACTCAGAGGGGGGAAGAATGGGCTTGCTGGGGGATGGTGAAGCGAAGATGCGGAGGCGAGGACTTGCACCCATTCCTATGGGCATCCTGGCCTCCTTCCCTGCCCATCCCAGGGGTTTTATGGAGAGGACTGGAGATGGCCCTCAAAATAAAAGCAGGGTGCAAGGAATACTGGCCACAGAGGTGGCCTCCGCTGCACCTGTTCAAGCAAAGGTGCATGTATGAGCAAAGCAGGCACGTAAGCCTGCATCAACAGCCAGGGCGATAGTATTCTGCTCTCAGTCAGTCACTAGAGGGTGCAGATGCTCTATGCAAAATCCATTCTGCATTTCCACGGCTCTACAGGCTGCAGCTGGCATGGGAAATGCTTAAATAGCATACCAAGCTGTCAAAAACATGCTCCCTTTTTGATGCACAACTCAGTGTGCACCCACCTGCACATGCAGTATTTTTATCATCTCCCAAAACCAAAACTTTGAGTTGGAAAAACAAATAAAGAAGTAGTCAAAGGGCATGCTGTTTTATGATTGTTTGCTGTCTGGTTCCGAGCTGCCTTAAGACTTGTATTTTAGAAAGGAAAGGTGGTGGGATATATATATTTAATGTTCTTTTACATTTAAATTATATTGAGGTACAAGTTCACAGATGTGAGATAATGAGTATCAAGGAGAAACTTTGGTAAGAACATATGCAACCAATATTATTGTTATTCCACTGCATTTATACCCTGCCTTTTTTCCTCTTGCGAGAGACCCAAGGTGACTCACTTAGCACCATAGCTCCTCACAACAACAATCCTGTGGGGGAGGCTGGGCTGAGATACTGTGACTGGCCCAAAATCATCCAGTGAGTGAGGACAAGACTCTCCCAGATCCCCACTCCACGGCTCCACACTGCTCTGGATTTAACAAAAAGCCAGGGGGCCAAAACTTTCCGAACGCATTCATGAGATGGTGGAGGCATATCTCTGTCGATGAGTAGGAATGGAAGGGGAACCAGGTTGGGTTTCACATAGAAAAGTTTTGTTTGGCTGTGCCAAAGGCGGGCACAGAAGGGACCTACTGTGATAAAACCTCCCCAGAGTTGCTTGTCTTTTCAACCTACTGGTCCACACGTCTCCTGCTCTGATCCAGACTGTGGTGGTGGTGCAAAACGGATGGATACGTATTTTCAGTTTCTATCAAATGTGTCGGCCTCTGCCTTAGTCAGTGACTGCTAGCATAAGAATTATTATTACCCTGGGCAGCTTTGCTTCTGGGCAGGTGGGGGACCCAGAAAGGTGGGGACAGAAACCTGTCTGCATGTGAGTGACTGATGTGGCATTATTTATTTATTTAAAGTATTTCTATGCCGTCCTGTCGTGAAAGCCTCAGGATGGCTCACATAGATAAATATTATTATTTATCTCTATTAACTCTATTATTCTGGAGTTCCCATGTAATAATAAACAGAACATTTTTTTTTACATCATAGGGTTTTGTCACACTGGGGGAAAGTAATCATTATTGGAGAGAAAGGGAGGAAGGAAGGGGAGAGTGTTTGGAGTTGCAAAGTAGCCAGCAAGGCATATGGAGTTCTGAATTTTGCAAACAGTTTCCGAAAGGATAATTCAGGGACTTCAAGTTGAACCTTGAAAGATGCTTGGCTGGTCCCCTCGTCCAGTGCGTATATTGGTAAATGAACAGTATAAAAGCCACCACAAGTTTTGACCCAAATAAATCAAAGCTTGCCTTGCAGCTTCTGGACTCACAGTCATATCAAGTACCATTCACAATATACTCCATATTCCTGGTTAATTAATGGTTGTGCCAAGTTATGCTTTGGCTTGCATCAGTTTCTGTGCCTTAATTGGTTTGAATGGGAGGTTGTGCAGAGCACAGAAGGCTAAAAATATTTCATGTTATTTTTAACATGAAATTTAGAGTTTGATTTCAAGTGATATATAGCCTCCTGGAGGTCTCCCTGGAAGACTGTGGGTGAGCATACAGTCTGCCTGCGGCAGGAGCCTGAAAGGTCATTATAGCTGTGATCTCCCATCCCACATGCCGTTCTCCAACCTCTGCAAGCATTTCTCGGCTGCCATGTGACACGTACATGTTCGCCACAAGGCACAGACGGGGGCCGGATTCCTGGCCGGGGGCCACCACTCTGCTTCTTCGGGGAGATTGCTTCAGAGAGGCAGCTGCGTTCAGGAAAGCCCAGTGATGATTCCCATCGGATAATGTGCCGGCCGTGTCGGCAACATGTGCAAGGAACCCTTCCTTGCTAACTTCCTTCTCTTAGAAGCTGATGTCTGGAATAGGAACATGAGCCACAACGGGAGAGATTGGGAGGGGCAGGGAGAAGATTCTTTTTTATTTTTGGTAATGTAGGAAAAGCTTTTTGCTGAAGTGTCCACTCTGTTGCATAAGGTTTCTTTTAACCTTGTTGGAAAAGGCGTATTTGTTGGAATTTTATCCTGCTCTTTATCCCAGATCCAACTGGCACGCGTGGTGCTGGGTGGTGCCAGGCGCACGGGGCTGCGGTGCCAGCACTGTTTTATCAGCAGAAATGCTGACCTCATCTTCCACCCGCTTTGCTTCCTTGCTCTCCCTGATCTTAGCTGTGATTCTCACAGCAGGCGGGGAAAATGTATTTACCCAACAAACATGTTGCAACAAAAAGTATTTTTGGGTGGCTAGATCAAAGTAGTTCCATCAAATAAAGACCTGCTACTGGTGGAGATGGAAACTGCTGATATGGCACAAGACCTGCCTTTTTGGCTTCCAGCAACGGGGCCTGTCCTGATGAGCACCTGCACTGCAACATGTGCTGCCACATCACTGAGTCACTGTTTCAACCCAATGCATGTTTCATCCCTCTTCAGTGGCTTCCCCCCATCGTGATTAAAATTGCATAAGTAAATGAGCCCGTTTGCTCTTCTGCCTACATCGCATCCCCTTCCCTGTAGGGCTCTAAACTCCTTGCGGGTTCCCTGCATTGATTTGTTCACAAGGTTTTTATATACTGGTCCTCAGCTGCTGTTTATGACACAGTTTGCAACACTAAGTCATAAACAAATCAATTGGCAATCAATTATAAATAAAAAGCAGACATCAGATTGTTTAATAACCCTATAATATCTGTAACAATTGAACTAAACACTCAAACCAGAGAGAAAAGAGCCTAATAAACAGATCCCACTGAGCAGAGAAACTTGAACTTATGCTTGAGAAAACATAAACCCTCCTTGGGTTCCAAGGAGCTTTCTGAGTCCTCTCATGCACACAGGGCTGGACCCAAAGACCTCACTGGCCCCTTCCAGCCCTACCATTATATGATTCCATTACTGTTCCGGAACAACAATAAATAGCTCCATGAAACCTGACATTGCAGACATGATGATGTGCAGCTAGTAAGCCCTTCATCGTTCTTCAGCTAGGGCTGCTCCAAACTGATAGTGTTATGAGTGAGAGCAAAAATTCGGTCTGTTTTTTTATGCTTGTAAAGATTCTTTGAAATACTCGGCAGAGCAGAAATATGAAGCCGTTGGGCAGGCCTCAAATTTCTAACCCTAACCTTCACCCTGTGTTGTTAACTGAACAGCACACATTCTAAGGGATGGCAAAGTGTCCTCCGAGACATCCCACTTAGAATCGGTGCATGAGCACAGTCTTCCTTCAGCTAGCCAGCTCTGCCTGTCCGTGTCTTGTGTGCATCCCGCTTGTAGGGGAACATTTGGCATGAATGAAATATATCCTTCTAAATGACTTCCTGACCTGCCTGTGCTATTCGGCGCTCTGCTCTGTGCATTGCTTCGAAATAGCCGAGGGTAAGATGTCACGTATCGCCATCCCTGCCAGCGTGACCTGAGTTGTGTTCCCCTGCCAAGCAAGTGCGCCTTGTGGCCAGGGGTGCAGCTCGAGGGGCTCTGCAGCATGTGCCTTGCGTGCAGAACGCCCCTGGAGGACTCTTCCAGACGGGACTGGCAAGGACCCCAGATGAAACCTTGAAAAGCTGCAGCCAGATAGAGCGTGGAGCAAGAGACAGACCGACCGTTTGGCTTGAGGTAGGACAGCTGCCAACTCCTGCAAACACCGCATTCCACAAGGCTGCAGTCCAAACCTTATTTAAGTATTCAAGGAGTTTCTAACCCCCTTTTCATTGTAAAACAATCTCAAAGTGGAGTATAAGCCATAAACATTTAAGAAATGGAGTACAATAACAAACAGCAGAGAAGAGGGGAGAAGAAGAACACCGCACTGGGAGAGACAGTGTGGTGCATGGGTTGAAAGGCCGGACTGGGACTTTGGAGATCTGGGCTCTAATCTCCATTTGGCAGTTAATCTCCCTGGATCACTTTGGACCCATCACTGACTTTCAGCCTTCCTCACTGGGTGGTTGTGAGGATAAAATGGAGAGGAGATGGTGCAGATAAGCCACCTTGGATTGCTCACAACAGGGGAAAAGGTGAAATGAAAATGCGATCACTATCACCATTGCAAACAGCCGTTGGCACAAAGCAGCAAAAGGAAAGAGTGCAACATTTAGTCCAGTGCCCAAGTAAGCAAATAAGTCTTCAAATGGTGCCAAAAGAATCTGAGGCACTGCCTGTTTTTGGGCCAAGGTGGAAGCACCACAGGCAGTGCTGCGTATCACACTCCGGGCAAAGCGGTGCCTTCAAGCAGTCCTCTCTACTGCTTCTTATGCATGCCCCCTGAATCTTCCCCATTAATTTTTCTGGTGCAGTGAATGCCAGTTTGGTTCAACAATGGCGAATAGTGATTGATGTATTTTTGAATTCAGTTCATAAGTGAAGAAACAGAGGATGCCTTCTTTATTCAACTGGCAGATGAACAAGTAGCTCCTAAATCAAATCAAGCCAGAGATTTCCCTAGAAGCAAAAATTACAAAGCTGAGGCTGTTGTCCTTGGGGCAGATCATGAGAAGGCAAAACTTCCCTGGAGAAGCCAGCCATGCCAGGGAAAGTCACAGGCAGAAGAGGAAAAAGAAAGCCAAATAACAGAAGGCTCACGAGAGCTAAGCAGGGCTGTCACGAATAGGACATTTTGGAGAGCTTTCATTCATAGGCTTGTCTTAAATTGGAGATGACTCAATGGCATAACAAGAGCAGCTCTTTTCCAGTGCTTGAATTGGGAGTAAGGGGCCAACCTCAGACAGGCAGAAAAGCTTCCAGCTCCCTTATCTTCTGAATAGCCCGAGGATTACTTTTTTCAGAAGAACTGAGCATAAAATATGGCTAAAAAATCTGCGAGTGGTGAATGGGGACTTGCTGATTTCATAAAGGTCCTCCAATCTCCTTCTCTCCCTGCCCTGAATCCAGAACTGTGCCACATCAGCATCTGCGCATAAGTTCAAAGTTCCTTTGGCTATTCATGAAAGATGGCTCACATTAAATAACTAATGAAAGCCAGTGGCAGGAATGCTCAATAGAGCAAAAAGAATTGAAGTTCAAGCAATTCCTGGAAAAGGCTAGGGTTAGAAGAGTTCTCATCTCACAGGTCAGCTGTGTGGCGGCAAAGATCAGAATGATTTACACTGTTCCACATGCACCAGAAAGATGGAGCAGCTGGGGAGCAAGTAAGGAGAGTAAAGGTGCAGTTCTTTGCATGTTCAGACAGAAAAAACACCCAGCACAGCTGTCTGGGAAAGCTGAGAGTAGAGGGACTTTTACCCTGACAAAACATGCATGGGATGGCACTCTAACATGCAGGAACTCAAGAGCCAAGGGTGAACCTTCGTTTCTTTCTCTTCCCCTCCATCAGATGTGAACTTGGCTGCTATTAGCCTTGTGCAATCAAGGTCCACTGCCAAATCTCTGCCTCTAGGACTGGAGTCGGCAGGGCCGCGATCACAGACACTAGTCTGCTGGGGGACACCTTTCTTGCTGGTCACCAGGCTTCCAGTTTCTTCTTATGTCTACTTCATTTCTTGCTAGTAAACAGTTCTGGCTTTGCACAAGTTGGAACAGAGCGAAGCCGTCAAGCTGTCAGAATGGAATAAGCTGTGTCCACCTCTCTGAGTGATGCCATGGCCATGGGTACCCCCTGGGCCAGTGGGTCCTTACCACAGTGCAACCCTCTGCCTCCTGAGATAGGGCCCTCCCCGGTCAATTGTCTTGGAGGAGGCTGCCCTGCAGCAGGAGGGACTCCCGGTCTCCCATGACTTCAGGCAGCCCGGGCTGTAAAGCTGTGTGCTAGTGCCTGGAGCCATTCCTCTAGGTCAGGGACCCTCAAACTTTTTAAACAGGGGGCCAGTTCACTGCCCCTCAGACTGTTGAGGGGGCAGACTATAGTTTGAAAAAAATATGAACGAATTCCTATGCACACTGCACATTAAAAATTAATTAAAATTAAAATCAACTAAAAATCATTAAAATTAAAATCAATTAAAATAATTAAAATTTAAAAATAATTAAAAATTAAAAAATGTTTGCTCCTCTCGCTCAAGCTGCAGCAGAAGCCCAAGATGGCGCCACGCCACCCACCGAAAGGGAGAGCACGACGCGAGGGGGAGCCATGAGGTTGAGGCCTTCCCACTCCTCGCCGCCACCCTGTTTCCGAGCCGGAGGAAGGTCCCCTCGCAGGCGCTCGCCCAGCTCCAGGAGCGGGAGGCCGGAGAGGTGAGCGTGGGGTGGCTCCCCCGGCCAGGAGAGGGCCGCAAAGTGGAAGGTAAGGGCTGCTTTCCGAGGCGAAGAGAGGGGAGGAACGGGGCCGCAGCTGGCCAAGCGGGGTGCCTCCTGCCCCTCCCCACCGTGGGGGAAAGAAGCATGGCAGCCGCTTGATGACGGCGGCTTGCCCAGAGAAGGCCGCAGAGGAGGTGCGGGAGCCACAGCCCTGCTCCCACTCCTGCTCCACCTTGGCCCGTCAGCCCCTCGGCTCAGTGAGGCAGCCATGGCTTGGCCCACAGCCCGGGGACATGGCTCACATAGTTAAAAATAGATTTTAAAAGTTACATTTTTCTTACCTTTTTCAGTGTCTTCGTCTATCTCTCTCTTCCGCCCTCCTGTCTTCTGAATTCCTGCTCTGTTTTCAGAGTCAACGCATGCATGCAATAGGGGGGATGAGCCGGCGCATGTACAGTTGCAGGGAGCTGTCACAATTTGCCGCATGTGCCAGCTCTCTGCTAGTCTCCAAAACTGAAAGAGTTTCAGAGAATGTCTGCGCTGGCTCAGAGCTTTCAGACTTGCTCAGAGATTGTTTTCTCTGAACAAGTCCAGAAGCTCTGAGGCGGGCTGGGTAAATGACCATGGCAGGTGGATCCGGCCTGCGGGCTGTAGTTTGAGGACCCAGGATCTAGGCATCTGCTGCAGGCCTCACTGAAATTAACGTTAAGTAAAGCATTTTGAAAACAAACCTGGGTACACACCCTGCAACCTGCTTAGCATTTTATGCCAAATGTCAGGAGCCAAGGTTTCACGTTCTTGGTGCTTGGGCAGTGGCAGCTGGACAGACTGACAGGCATCCTCTTTATTAGTACAGAAGCTTTTTATTTTGTTTCGTTTAGTTCAGGGGTTAGCAACCCATGGCTCCAGAGCTGCATGTGGCTCTTTCATCCCTCTGCGGCGGCTCCGTCACTCAAAATATGCGTCACAACTGCCAATGTGCGACACCTGCTGGCACGCGATTTATTGAGCTTTTCGACCCCCCGGTAGGCCAACCATAGATAAATCCAAGAAAAGAAAAGTTTCAGAAGAAAACAGAACGTTTAATGGTACATGGGCAGATTCATTTGCTTTCACTGCTGATGAGACTAGTTTACCAGTATGCTTAATATGTGGTGAGAAATTGGCAAACAACAAAAAGTCGAATATTGCAAGACATTTCCAGAATAAACACACAACCTTTGCTGAAAAATATCTAGATGGAGATGAGAAGGGAAAAGCCATTTTGGAACTGATGTGGAAGGTTGAGCTGAGCAAAAATCATTTCAAGAAGTGGGTTAAGTCTGCAAATTCAATTACATACGCTAGTTTTGTAGCATATGAAGTAGGAAATAGTCAGGCACGGGAAGCCTTTCACAGACGGAGATTATATAAAAGAATCATTCATTGATTTCATAAATGCAACACACTATAGTTTTTTTATACATAGCATAAAGGTAAAAAAACGATATATAAAATGTTATCTTCATTTTAGATGTCAAAAGGGTTTTGTGGCTCCTGGTGTTTTATTTTCTGTGGGAAATGGGTCCAAATGGTTCTTTGCGTGTTTAAGGTTGCCAGCCCCTGGTTTAGTTGAACTGGGACATGTCTGCCATGCGAACTAAAGTGTTGTTCTCCAAAGCCGCCTTTCAGAGGAGCACTTTGGTGTCTTGGAGCTCAGACCCCATCTTTGCCTTGTATGCTACATGACACTGTGTAATTGGTTTTTTTTTTTTTTTTACTCCTTTTCAGTATTTAACTGACATTTCATTTGTACCCCAACACCATGACTAGGAAAAGCAGGATAAGTCATGGAAATTATACTCTTGAAATTAATTAATGACTGAAATGGAATATTGCAAAAGATTAAAAAGAAAACACAGCTGTGGAATTGTTACTGATTTCAGGTTTTCTTGGTGCAAAATTCAGATTTAAAAAAAAAGTGTTAATACTGTAATTATATAACAAATAAGTGTGTATGTGCTACTTTATATATGGTCTGAAATCTGTAAGGGGACCCATCTCCAAAGGCCACCCCTCGGTGTAAAAAGGGGGCAAAGGGAGAGGAAGGTACTCGATTTCTGGGTGGGGGGAACGCAGGCAGAAAGATCCGAGGAGATGAAGCCCCTGAGGCGTCTCCAGCCCCCCTGGACCAGCAGGTTGGAGGCCCCCAGAGACGGCCGGCCCCGAGTGCAGAGGCCGGGTCTCCCGCCCGGGGGGGGGGGGTGTCTCCTCGCATGCATCTTCGGCCCGAGACGCTGGCCAGGGCCCCACCCCGCCCGGAGAGCCCCTCCGGCTATAAAAGGTAACGGAGGCGCCTGCCTAATTCAGGGCCCCCGTCGGGTCCCCGCCCCGCCGCCCCGGGGAGCCAATGGCGATCGCGGCCGGGAACCCGCATAAAGGGCGCCGCGCGCGGGCTCGGCATGCATCGCTTCGGCTGCGGTCGCGCTCGGTCGGCGCGGCGGGGCTCGAGCGGATCAGTCATTCCGGGCCGGCGAAGAGATGCTGCGCGTCCGCTGCCTGCGCGGAGGGAGCCGGGGGGCCGAAGCCGTGCACTACATCGGGTCCAGAGTAGGCGCGGCCCCTCCGCGGGGCGGGAGGCGGCGGGTGGCTGGAGGGGCCGGGGAGGCGGCGCGGGCGCGGGCGGCGAGGGGCCGGCCGGGGAGCGGGACTGCCCGGCCGCGCCGAGCTGGTCCCCGTCCGCCTCCGCCCGGGCAGCCGCGAGGGCGCTTCGCCCGGGGCAGGGCTGCACTGCCGCGCTGGAGGGTCGTACCTCTTGGGGCAGCCCCTCCGGGTGTTCGGGACGACACTCCCCACCTTCCCTGCCGTTGGCCAAGCTGGCTGGCGACGATGGGAATTGTGGTACCTAATGTCTGGAGGGCCACTGGTTGGGGGAGGCTGGACCATCCAACATCTGGGCGGCCTCAGGTTGGGAGAGGCTGGACCATCCAACATCTGGGCGGCCACAGGTTGGGAGAGGCTGGACCATCCAACATCTGGGCGGCCTCAGGTGCGGGAGGTCAGGCCTTCAAACTCCGTGTTGTATTGGCAAAGTCCTCTTCTGCGGGTTAGCGATTCCATCGCACACAAAATGCAGCTCCTGGTCCCCCCAGCAACCCGGGCCCTTCAGATGTCTTCAACTCCAACTCCCATCAGCCCCAGCCAACATGAGGCACCATCCAGGATGCTGGCAGTTGCACTCCTAAATCCCTGGAGGGAGCCAGATTGGATGAGGCTGGTTTAAAGGTGGAATGAAGTGCTTCCTCTCACTGTTTCACTGGCTGAATCTGGGGAGATTCTCCGTATTGTGGGTGGGTGGATGAAGGACAGTGGGTGCAGGGTGTGCTTGCTTCATGCACCCAGACATGCCGCAGGGGTGCTGTTGGAGTGTGGAAACTGCATATGCAGGAACTGAGGGGGGGGGGGTGTATCTGCTGAGTGTGTCAGAGGGGGTCTTTATTCGTCACACTCCTATAATGCTCTATTTGCTAACTGTACATAAATTTAAAACAGCAACACTTTACAACTATAGAACATTAAAAACAGTAAAAACATTAAAGCATTAAAAACGGTTTGCAACACCTAAAAAGAGGGATGTGATATTTGGGATTAACCCATACTGCATAATCCTTGTGCCAGCCCCCCCCCCCCCCAATTTCCATCCTGCAAGACCCATCTAGCTTGTGGGTCTGTAACTCTGCAAAGTCATATGTTGATCTTCAAAAACAATTTTTATTTTTCTAGAACCTCTCACTTGGTTTTAGTAAGGGTGTGTGTGAAATGTCTAACTGGCATCTCAGAGCGGTGACTATACGGGTGGGCTAGATGGGGTGCTGCATCTGAGGGTCTGCAAGTGGCAGAGCCGTTCTGAAGATTGATATAATGCCAGGAGTGTGGAGAGGTCTTGAGCCCCTCTCCGTCTTCCCTAGCCCGTGTCCCTGCTCTTGAGCTTGCTGGGTGCTGAGCCTGCACTCAGCCCTGAGTGTACTTCCGGACATATGCTATGGCCAGGCCTCTCTTCCGTTTGCATGGAGAGACTGCCTCGTCAACAGGACATAATTGCAGCCAAGCGTGGTGTTCCATAGAGCATGTGGGGAGTGCATTCCTTCTCTGCTGGGTAATGAAGCTTGCCCTCACATGCCTGGAGCGTTTCAAGTCCCATGGCTTGCCTTGGACATTGACATCTTTGTTTTCTTAGGCTGACATCCAGTGAGCAAATTCTGTGTGAACTTGTCCTTATCCAGACAATGACTGCCAGGAGAAAATCAGCAAATTCACTGCATCAGGGGTTTTTTGTCAGGCACCCTCTGCCCGGGGAAAGGCTGGAGAAGGGACACCAATAATGTCTCTCCCGGCCGATTGACCACTTCTGGTCTCCTGGGCTCTGCTAAGCCTCCTGTTTCCAGCTTCCCTGGCACCCTGTGCAGAGGAGCCTCTCTCCTCCGCCTGCCCGCCCGCCTTCTGCTGAGCCAGCAGGCCTGCAGGCTCCCCCTCCACCCATATGGGGTCGGGAATGTTGATTATTAACAGGATCGGGCTTGTTTGCTCATCTGCAGTGCTGCTGTCTGGTCTTTCCCAACAGCTGATGTGGAACAACTGCAGGCACCTTCTGTTCGGGGGCTTGGAATGTGGAGTTGGGGGAATTGCCCTCCTGGGCCATCCCCTTTCTGGTTAAGCCAGAACCCTTGGACCAATATCAGCTGCAGCTCAGCATTGCATGTGGGGACTGAAAGTCCCATCAGCCCCAGCTAACACAGCCAGTGCTTAGTTTAGACTGCAGGACTTTGATGGTCACTGCCACTCAAAACAAGGACTTTTTTTCAGCTGGAGAAGGTGCAAGAAGAGGCAACCTAAAGGATGAAGGACTTTATGGAGTAACTTGCCAACTGGGAAAGGTTAGAACCCCAGTTCTACTGTAGGAAGAAAAGAGTGTTGAAGAGGCATATAATGTTAGTGTATCCATGGGGAATCCTTCTGCATGAGCTCCAATGAAATCATGATGTACCAGCGCACATGGACCATGTTGGTCCCAAGATGCTAGTGGTAGATGGGTTATAAAAGCTTTTACTATAATAAATATAATATAATAAATTATATTATAAATTTTAAATTATAAAAATATAATAAATAATGTAGTGCTGTTGAATATTTCAATAGGGCTTGTGCCCTGGAAGATTAAGCCTGCCTCAACCTCATGTCTCCAGACACGTTGGACTACAACTCCCATCATTCCCAGCCAGTCTGGGGATGCTGGGGACTGCAGTCCAGCACATCCACAGTGCATCAGGTTGGGAAGACTGAAGTAAATCATGTCTTGTGTTAGTTAGCAGGATCAGAAATGCCACTTGGTATTTTCTGTCTCTTGTTACAGTTGTGGAAAGAGCCGAGAGGGAGCAACTGCAACTTGAGAAAAGAGCAATATTTCCAAGAACTCATTAAAAAAAGCCGCAGCCTTTGCAGTGCTATTTTTCCAAACAGAGACATTTATTAGATACCAAGGGAGACACTCTTTATTCTCACCAGTGGGAACTTTGGCCACTGGATAGCTAAGCCTTGTCCAGCAATTTGGTTTGCTCCCTCCACTTCAAAGTATGCATGTGTGTATATTCTTATCTTTTTCTTTTTTAATGTGAGGGCAGTGTATTTTCCGCACTGCCATGGAAGAGACAGACTCAGCTTCACGAGCAATCTTTTCTTGCGAAGTGCACATCCTGAGCGAGATTTTCTTACAGTAGATATATTTGTTGACTAATTTGGGTGTCAGATTCTTAGTGCTGCTGGCCAGTTCATGGAGTGAACCCTTTGATCTCTGGACGTGGTCCAGGGAATGCTTTCTGGTGATTTAAGGTGGCTGGCATGGCTTCCATGCCTCTGCTCTCTCTTTCTGAAAGTTGCCTTTCCCATCAAGCAGCAGGGAGGAACAGAGTCTTCTGTTCCCAGTTTGGTGAGCAAGATTTTGCACTCCACAAAGCTGGGGTGGCCGCTTCTGAAGTACATGCACAATGAGGGGCAGTTGATTTGCCTCCAATTTGCTTGTGGCAGTTTATGTGTACAGAAGGGCATTTGGAAATCCTTATTATAACTGAAGTAGAAATACAGTACAGGCAGTCCCCGCATTACGAATGGCCAAGTTATCAACAACCCGTACTTACAAACAAACTGCCATGCAGCCTATTCCTTTTCTAAATTACTGAGGAAAATCGTCATCGCCAGAGGTGGGGAGATGACAGGGGAGAGAGGGCGACTTGCAAAGCGTGCCCTGGCTATCCTTAGAGGGAAATCTCTCCAGCATTTCCCTGCTGCAAAGAGGAGCCACTGGTGAGTGTGGGTGGGGAAGGGAAAGCTAGAGATATTTTCATTTTTCCACTTTCACGGGGGACCCGAGCCCCTAACCCCCACAAATGCAAATAGCTAGTTGGGGCATGCTGGGAGACGCATCTGAAGGAGAGGAGTTTGAGGAAGGCAGGTTTAGCTACTTCCACTGGTGGGAGGAACCAAGCAGAGGGTGGGCTACACACATGAGTGTGTGTCTCTGGAATGGCAAGGCAGGATTCTCCATCTTTTTGGCCTAGTGCTGAGTACAGGTGCAGCCCTTTCTCTGGGGGTCTCTGAACCGGATAAAATATTCCCTAGGCCTGTTGATGGCTCTAGCCTTCAACTTGCATGACTCGCTGCTATTCTTGGGAATTGGAACAGGTGCCATGCTGGTCTCCTGCATTAAGGGTGCTTTTTGGAGCAGTACCCAGCTGTGTGCTGATGCATCTGTGCAAATAACTCCTTTTGTGCACATAGGTACGCCTAATAGGATTTCCCTGCTAGAAGGGGAACCATGAATCTGCACATTGTCCTGCTGGTGCAGATAGAGCACCTGCATGAGGAGTGAACAAGTGATTCAAGAATTTGCTCGCAGACACCCCCACATTTATATGAAAGAAGGAGAGTTATCTTCCTTTTCAAATATCCAAGGCTAACAAGAAGGTGAAAATATAACATTTCTTCCTAGAAGAAGTCTGCTGATGTGCTCTTGTCAGGGTGGAAATTTGGGGCAGGGTTTGTTGCTGAGATCATGAGGACCAGTCACTTGGCTCTTCCTCTGGCAGAACTCCTTAAAGTTTCAAGTACGGGTGGCAAGTAGTCTGTGCTGGCTGGCACAAGTGTGACCTTTCCTCTGTTATTTTTGTGTTTCTGTACATGAAAGCTCACTCGAGTCTTCCCAGGATGGGTGCAGCGAACTTACCAGAGCACCCACGCGGCTGCGGCCTCCCAGACGGCCTGCGCTGTTGCTGATGACAATCACAAGGCCCCAGACCCTGTTCCCGAAGATTGCCCCGTCTGCTCCTACAACGAATGGGACCCACTTGAGGAAGTCATTGTGGGGAGAGCCGAAAATGCCTGTGTTCCTCCTTTTTCTGTTGAGGTCAAGGTAAGCCTTCCCTCTCGGCGGCAAAAGACTTCCACTGTGTTTTGGCAGCATCCCCAAACGGTGGTCCTTCACAATGCCCCTTTCCTCTTGAGGACGGTATTAGAGGAGACTTAATCGCTTTTGCCCAATGTCTGTTTATCTGGGAGGGGAGCTGCATAATGCAGACATCTGCTCCTTCTACTGGTTGGGTGCAGTTGGGATTGTTTTCAGCGGTCCATTTTCAATGAGAGTTGTATTGCTCGTGCAGTCGAAATGGTTTTAAAAAGTGTATTTAAATGTGATTCTTGATATGTGAAGGACAACCTTGACAGGTGAACTTGCTGAACTAGCAGGGCAGCAGTGGGTCAGGGTGGGGTGGGGAATCTGTGAGGCAGGGCACGAGGCAGATGTTTCCAGAGGTCTGCTGTCAAACAAAGAGGTTTCAGGATGTGGGCTGTTCTAGAAGCAGCAATTCCAAGAGGGCTGGTCGCTCCGTCGCTCACTGAGCTGGATATTTCAACACAAGTTTTGATATGGAAAACTGGTGCCAGGCTGGAATCCGGTCACAGAACTTGATGTGTACATCTATGTTTACTGCAACTTTATCCAGGGCAGATGTCTTGTTTCTTTATCAGTGGGTATTTCTCTCAGTGAAAAGTCCCCTGCTTCATAGTGAGTAGCGATGAAAGTCCTAATCCAACACAGTTACCATCTGCACTCCATTGCTGCCTTGAAAAAATCGACTATTATTATTCAGCTAATGATACTTTGGAATACTTTGGCCACCTAATGAGAAGGAACAAGTCATTGGAGAAGCCCCTGATGCTGGGAACGACTGAAGGCAAAAGGAGAAGGGGGCGGCAGAGGATGAGGTGGCTGGATGGAGTCACTGAAGCAGTCAGCGTGAGCTTAAGTGGACTCCAGGGGATGGTGGAGGACAGGAAGGCCTGGAGGAATGTTGTCCATGGGGTCATGATGGGTTGGGCACGACTTTACAACTAAACAACATTCAAAATGGTACTTAGAATCAGAAGTAATTCAGTGCAACACGAATAAGCAACCTTGTTCATCTCTTCCCATGTTTTGATTTCCAGGCCAATACCTATGAGAAGTATTGGGGATTTTATCAGAAGTATGGAGGACAGAATTTTCCTATGGAACATGTGAAGAAAGCTATTGCTGAAATTGAAGAGATGTGCAATATTTTGAAAATGGAAGGAGTGACTGTGAAGAGACCTGAACCCCTGGATTGGTCAACCAGATACAAAACACCAGACTTCGAATCCACTGGTAGTTGTTGAACAGCTTAGAACACGGGAGCTGGATTTAGTATTCTTTTTGTCCTTATTATTCATGCTTATTTAAATTAGCTCCTCAATTTATACCTCTCTTTTTTAGCCATTTGAGCTCTCATAAAGTGCAAGCCACTGCATCACAAACCTGACCCTTTTATACCACCCTTCCCTGAATGGTACCCCCCGAATGTGTCGGGGTGCTCTTTGACTGGGGGATTATGGGGGCTGTAGTCTACCAAAAGCATACCAGATTGGGAGGGCTACTTTATTAAGACAACCTAGTGATCCATCTGACAAAAACTATTGAGGGAAGAAGGGGATGGGTTAAAGAGACACACCTGAGAGAGGAGCCAGGGAAGGGAGAACTAGGAGCCAAGTCCAGAGGTGGCCTGTGATAGCCCCCTTTCCCTCGCTTGCTTCTCTGAGAGGTGAATTAGAAGCAGGAAAGGATTTTCTTAGGATTGTGGCTGGCGATGAAGACCCTGCCCTCTGACCACACACTTGGGGTTAAATTCTCATGATAAACTTCTCAGCATATACAAAGGATTAATTTTATTTTTTTAAAAAAACCCTCTCCTGATGTGACCAAGACTTAGATTGGTCCTACACAAGGCAGGTGGTTTTACCTGGTGGGTTGGGGAGGAGAAAGTAAGGTGGGCATCACTGTTAAGTCCAGATGTAGGCATACTTGCAGGAGTAGACCCACTGATTTCAGTAGTCTACTCTAAGTCTGTCTAAAATCGGGATCCAATCCAAGAGCTTTGTGCTGTTGTTCTTACTTGCTGTCAAGTTATCGCCAACTTAATGCTGGGAATGAACACCCCGCAGAATGCCCTGTCCTTGGTAGCTGCTCAGCAATTGCAAACTCAAGGGCGAGGCCTCCTTTATTGCCCATTTGGCCTTCCCCTTCTGCTCTTGCCTGCAACTTTTCCTAGCATGAATATCTTCTCCAGTGAGTCTTGCTTTCTCAAGATGTGTCCCAAGTACAGTTTTGTCATTTTTTGCTTCCACCGATAGTGTTAATTTGGATAAATCCATCTATCTGTGGAATCTGAAAGGCACTCAGATCTAAAGCTACGCTGCTCCAAAGAAGTCCAACCATATGTCAAAAAGTGATCAAAGTTAGTCTTGAATATTGAGAAAACTGATTTTGCATAGCATTCTTGTTCATGGATGCGTAACTTTGAACAATGCTAACTTTTCCTGGTCTTGTTTGCAGCTTTTCAAATGCATTTCATCACCATGCCTAGGAATCTTTGCAATTTGGAATGGGATGTTAGAGAAATGCCAGGGACTGAATTTAGTTTTGAGTGTTGGGACTTGGTTACCATTCTCCTAAGCCATACAATAAACATACTTAGCCTGTCTTGTTTGCCAACAAGGAATAATGATTAGATTTAATTTCCCCCACCCCACTTCTGGTCAGTGGTTCTCAGATGGGGGTGGGGAGCTGGTATTAATAACAAAAGCAGATGAAAAGCTTAAATTTTAATAATGTTCAGTTTTAAATCAGAGTGGGGCATCTGATGGCCCTTCAGCCCAAGGTCTGCAGGCTGTCCGTGGATGTGGCCCACCATAACCGTTCAGTTCGGCCTTTGGTAAAAATGACCCTTACTTCCCTCGACAGCTTGCTGGGTAGCGAGGAAGAGGTGGGGATGGAAAGATTGGAGAGGCAAGGAAGAGATGAAAGTGTGTGGCTGCACCAGACACTTCTGGCTCCGTATGTGGCTTCTTGCAGATCGTCTCTGTTTTTCCCTTGCATCTGGTTTAAAGCGGGGGGTGGGGGGGATTTCTGCAATTACACTTCTTTTCATTTAAAAAACCCCTTCGTTGAACACTGTAAATGCAGTGAAATAGCCATGCATGTTAAGGTAATGAATCTCAAACATGGTGAATGTTTGCATTTAGATAAGAATCCCAAAGAATTGCATCAGTGCCTGAACTATCTGTTCCCTCATGTTTCAAGTCCATGCCAACAAATGTGGCCTTTACGAAATTTGATGGGTGTTGTCAACATTCACTAACATTATGGACATTCACAGTAACATATGTACTAGTGCTAACACACTGTTTCTATTAATAATGCCAATCATGATTCAGTTACAAGGATGCCATGAATGGAATAATGGGGTTGTATTGTGTGTGTTTTGGTTGTTTTCTGATAGGAATGTATGCAGCGATGCCAAGAGACATTTTGCTGGTCATTGGGAATGAAATAATTGAAGCTCCGATGGCTTGGCGTGCTCGTTTCTTCGAATACAGAGCATACAGGCCTATCATTAAAGAGTATTTTCGCCAGGGAGCCAAATGGACAACTGCACCGAAGCCCACGATGGCCGATGAACTTTATGACCAGGTATTATCCTTTAGGCATTTGGTATTGGACCATACTTTTTGCAGAATGAGGCCAGGTTGCACAGTAAAGCATTCTTGGGGTGAAGGGGATAGAGCAGCAGCCTCCAGAAACAAAGTCAGTGGTTATTCAGCTCTGGCACAGTGCAGAAGGACAAGCGATGCCCCTACTTTACAGCCCAAATCTCCAACTTCTCAACAAGGTTTTACAGATGGGGAGGGAAACTCAGACTTACGCCAGCTGACTTGTCCAAGAGTTCTGAGTTCCAAGAAGAGCTTGTATTCAGACATGAAGGATGTGGGGCAAAGTTCTCTCTCTGCTTCTGTGCACACCAGCTTTCTTTCAGCAGCAACCAAAACCACATTTCTTCAGTTTCAGCTAGTAGGTCAAGTGGCATGTGAGAATGTTCCGTCTTTCTTAAACCAGGACTACCCCATCCGCACTGTGGAAGACCGGCATAAGCTGGCAGCTCAGGGCAAATTTGTCACAACCGAATTTGAGCCATGCTTTGATGCCGCTGACTTCATAAGGGCTGGAAGAGACATCTTTGTTCAAAGAAGCCAGGTGAATAGATGAGTCTTTCCCTGCCCCCCACCCCAGCTGAATTGTCTACATGTATAGATCTAAGCCAGTGTTTGCTTGCTTGTTTGTTTAATTTCTTGGTAAAATTTAATTTCACTGTAGTGGAAATCACTGGAAAACCATTGGATTCTGAGGCATCTAGCTGATTCATTTGTCCCTTCTGTGCCTAAAGCAACTTTTGGTTTCTCCCTCCTAGAATAATAACAACATTTAATTATGTAACTTCTGTGCAGCACAATGACCAGCATTCTCTAGGTAGTTTACAGCAGTTCCTGCAATCCACAGCTGCAGCCTGCAAGGTTTCTTGTCTTTGCTTTCTCAAGGTTGGCCACCTGCTTGGTTCACTTTTCAAGATAGCATGGGTCGGGAAGAGGTCATCTAGATCAGCCTCCTACTTTGCAAATTAGGGTGTATTGAGATGATCACAGGGTTAATTATGCTGGCCTTGGCCATCATAGACTTACTGACCGAGGCTGTTGCAACGGCAAAGTCACAGATGTGATCCCTGGATCTATCAGTGTCACACACACGCCCTAGACAGAATATGAATTCTGAGAGACCACCAGCAAGTTGAGTCAGAGCACAGACCTGGACCATAGAAGGCGCCACATGCAAGCCAGGCCCATGTCCCAGGGGGCACTTCCTGTAGAAAGTGTCTCCCCGCAGCTGAAGTGGCTTGAGCATAACAATCTTGCTTTGTATGCCAAATCTTGCTTGCCATTCCTCCATGCTGCCTTGATTCTATATTATTGTGTTGCTTTTTTGCTGTACTATTTTCATTTTCTCATTTAGTGAATGCTCTTTTCTTCGCCCATTTATTTGCTAATTGTTTCTGAATATCCAAACAGAACCATGGCAAAACACTCAGCCTTCCTTCCATGAGATCAGGGTGGTCTACAAGGTCTCCCTCCCCCCTCCCCATTTTCTTCTTCCCAAGAACCCTGCATGGTAGGTTAGGCTTGAGAGGTGGTGATCAGAGGTGTTTATTCCATAAGTTTCAGGCCTTAATGGGCTCAAAGTTTAGCTTTACGGTTTCAACATGACTTTAGAGTAGACACTCCAACTGCTACATTACAAAGCAAGGCTCCGTCACTCCTTCCAGCATACAAGAGGCAAAGTGCAGGGTGTGTTTCGGTAAATAAGAATCATGCCTAATCCTAATCAGGGATCTCAGAAATCTGCAACAGATTTCTGAAATCTGAGTTTGGATTTCTGTGAACCTGACTGGCAGTTTCTGGAGTAGACCAGATTTTTTCTGAGTTGTGTAGACCAGTCTCAGCAACCTGAATGATGCTTCAGTTTCCCCACCAAGTTCTTACTCCAGACAACTGCTCAGCAAAGGCTAAAAAAATGTCCTTCTTTACCATCACTCTCAATCCTGGCTTTGCTAGTGGAGCCAGTCGTTCCATTTGTGCCTCCCTTCGCCCCTCTTACTTGATAGCTGTCGGAGGTCAGGCAACGACCGAGAGGAAAGCTCTCCCTGGGCTGCCTGTTTTTCTCCATCACTCTGTGTGCAGCGTCATGCAAAAGGCCTCGGGATAATGTCACACCCCGTCCACGGCTGGTAATATTCGGCGTATCTTGATCCTAAGCACAGAAGCTAAACTGTAGCTGTGTACAAATAGCCTCCCAAATTTCCCCAGCCTATTTGTTGGCTGAGAAATCGGGGGCACCTTTTCACCAATTCTTTTCTAGGGGGAGGAAAGTTTGATGGCACCTTTCTGGAAGTGGACTCCCCATTAGTGAAGCTTGTAGCACAATTTCTTTCCTAATGGTCTTTGCTGTCTGCATGTCCACCATTTTACTAATGCTTTCAAGTTGACCTTTTCCTTGTGAGGTGGCCGAAGGGCCTGTGAGTTCCTTCTTTCTGTTGCATGCTTCTCAATCTCTCTGCAGCCCTTCCTCTTCTTCGCCACCTTGTAAGAAGGGCAGGCCCCCAAGCTCCAGCCAGGAGAATTTCTCTGAAATCTTTTCCTTTGAACAGTTTTTCATGAACGGCTCTCAGTGGTTCACAGAGTCAAAAAATCAACAGCACAAAAAAAAAAAAAAACCAAATAACAAAATCAGTAACATTAAAATTGAATGTACATAATACAGAAACAACAGCAGGCTTACAACAACCGCATTCAAGTTAGCCCAAAGCAGCAGAACAATGAATACAGCAGAAGTGCAAAGTAAACATTGAGTTGTAAGGAATGTTATCATTCAACTATTAGAATGTTGGGTAAATAAAAAGGTTTGCACCTAGCACTGAAAGGAATGGAGAGCAGAGACCAGGCACTCCTTGATGAGGAGCTGATTCACAGTTTATTTTATTTATTTATTTATTTATTTATTGATTAAAACATTTCTATGCCACCCCTTGCCGAAGCCTTGGGGCGGCTTACAACACAATAAAATACAATAAAATACAAAAATAACAATATAAAATTAAAATTAACAATATAAAATAAATAAAAATATAAAAGAAGTTGGGGTGCCACAGCTGAAAAGGCCCGCCCCCTAATTGCCACCCTCTTTATTTTCTTGCAAGAGGGCATTCTGAGAAGGACTTCAGATGACGACCTCAGGGTCCAAGTAGGAACATATGGGAAGAGGCGTTCCTTTAGATACCTTGGCCCCGAGCCATTTAGGGACTTTCTATCAAATTGAGTGAGAATGGTTGAAAAAAATGTTTGGGGAAAAAGGGGGTTGAAAGAGAATTCAGCTCAACACTAAGGCAAACACAGGTGCTGTTGTTTATTGTGAAGAGGCTAAACATTTTTAGCTTTCTCTTTACTGCCCCAGGTTACTAACTACTTGGGTATCGAGTGGATGCGAAGACATCTTGCCCCAGAATACAGAGTGCACACCATCTCCTTTAAAGATCCCAATCCGATGCACATTGATGCCACTTTTAACATCATTGGTCCAGGTCTTGTGCTATCCAACCCAGACCGCCCATGCAATGAGGTAAGGAATCTTCAGCAGGTGTTTTCTTCCTGAGGCTAAGGGCAACATCATGGGAAACCCACCTGGACTGGCAGTTGGCTCCTGCTTGGACAGTGGCAACGGGGCAGCATCTTTCACTACATCTGAAGGCTGACCCTGGTCCACAGAGCTCTCCTTCACCTGGCTGCCACCTCCCAGGATCTGGCACATAAAATGATGCTGCCAGGCGAGCCCTGATCTTCAGGCAGACAAAAGTAGGGTTTTGGGCTCTATGTGCTAAGGCTCATGTGTGCAGAAATAGCTTGTGGCCTTTGGCTGTAGCCTAGTGTGCGCATGCACGTGTGTGTGTGTGTGTGTGTGTGTGTACAGTTCAGGCTATTTTCATACTCCAGTCTTGAATGCTCAGCTTCTCTTCTGGTCAGTAACAAAGAGAGCTGCTCCCACCTTCTAGTGTTCTGATCAAGTACCAAGAAGCAAGAACATTAGAACATTAAATATTCGTTAGCACAATTACATAACGTTAAACTTAACAGTCATGTTTGCCTTCCGAGTCTTTTGCATTGATTTAGGCACTTGTCAGAAAATTTGGGCTACAGAGCTGATGTAGTGTGTTCCTTCCAAGCATCTGAGATGGGGGTTTCCCTCCCTGAAGGTAGCAGTCCACCTAGGCTGGAATTGTCTTTTTTGAGGTGTTAGCTATCCATGTGTAGGGAGGTTTAGGGTTGAAACCTGTAACTGCAAACCTTATTCCAATGTTTGCATTCTGAGTGCTGAGGGAAGTATCCCAGATGCTTTTTCTTAGTGTTTGTAATAGGTCACTAGATTTCTTCTGGTGACCAAGCCAAACCTTTAAGCCCTTGCTTTTCAAGGTTGACTTAGGCAATGAACTTTGTGCAGTAGTTGTGATGTTTTACATTTAAATCCCTTAAAACTGGTCTCTGTTTACTCCAGCTATCAGCAGGACTGGAGTAGATAAGGACTAATAGAAGTGTTGATCTGTCTGCTGCTGCACAAGGACACATGGATTTTGTTAAACCTGATCCTTCAGTGTTCACACTTGTCAGCTGTCATCTGATTTCCCATTTGTTCGCTGACAAAGTCTGATTTTTAAAAACTAATGTTCTCTCCCAATTGCACAAATTCACATTTTCACGAATGTGTACTTAACACAGATGCGTAATTCCTCCTTCATTAACACCTCAGGAATAAATACAGTTCTCAAAAAGAGGGAGGACAGAACCTGCAGGAACCTATAGAATATACTGTGTCTTACGGCAAATATGCACCCCTAGAAATACTTATTTTTAGGTTTTGGTGAGTCATACCTGCAAACCCAGCAGACGTCACGCAGGGGGCATAATAAGGTTTGCACCGTCTATTTCTCAGAAAGGAAACATCCCTTGGAGCAAACTAACTGGGGAATATTAAACATCAGAGGTCACAAAGGAGAATTACAGAGAATATTTTCAGGCAGTGGGAATAGTTGTGACTGCAGGCAGAGAATGGCGACACTTGGTGTTCCTGCTGATGTGAGCATGGAAGATGCCCCCTTGTGATGAAAACTAGACAAGCGGGCGGCTCCTGCAAACCTCAAAATACCTGCAAGAGCATTAAAAAAGCATATGGAAAACATACGGACTTCTTTGCATTTAACATGCAGGTTTTAAAACAAGAGTACGGCTAAGGAAATCTGTCAGGATCTGTCAGGATTGTAGCAAGTGGGAAGATGTTGTGCTGTGCCCCTGCTTTGAAGGTGCTACTTGGATTGGGGTGGAGGTCCCAGTCAATGAAGGAAAAATGGTGGATGTAGTAAAAGGAGAGCACAAGTCAAGGAATGTATAAAGAGCAGCACAGATAACCTAGAGCTGATTAAGAAAGATGTCTGTGCAAATTTAAAACGTCCACTTAGACCAGTGGTGGCGAACCTATGGCATGTGTGCCACGGCGGGCACGCAGAGCCCTCTCTGTCAGCACACGAGCCAAGTCGCCCCAGCATCACCCCAGCAGCCGAGCACCGGATAACAGTGCACACAGGGGCCATGCACATGCTCAGAAAGGAGTAGCAGCACCAGGCCATGATGTCACGAGCCTCGACTCATTAGCTGCGACTCGTGCAAGCTTTTGCATGGCCGGTCAGTGCACTGCCAGGGATATATATATATTTGCTTGGACTGGCTGTGAGGTGTTTTTTCTAAACTAAAACCTCAGAATCCAGGTTTTATTGCATTGTTGGCACTTTGCGATAAATAAGCAGGTTTTGGGTTGCAGTTTGGGCACTTGGACTCTAAAAAGTTCGCCATCACTGGCTTAGACAATCTTTCTTCCCCATTCTCCACTCTCTCAGATTGATCTCTTCAGGAAGGCTGGTTGGATGGTGATTCACCCTCCATTGCCCCTCATCCCTGACGGTATGTTTTCATTTTCCATTTTGAAGATTGTTCTTCTGAATTAGAAGACCAAATTTAATTTATTAAAATTGTAATGGATAAACTGATAGAATCTGAGCTAGCAGTGACTGAGCTAGCTCAGAAAGGGACCTTGGGGTACTGGTGGACATTTGATGAAATGTCAGGGTTGTGCGCAGCTGCTGCAGAGGAGACAAACTCCACGCTAGGCATCCTTACGAATGGAATAGAACATAGAACTGCCGAAATCTTATATGCCTTGTACAAAACTTTGGTGAGACTGCACTTGAAATATTGTGCTCACTTCTGGTCGCCTTACCTGAAAAAGGGCTTTATCGAGTTGGAAAAAGTGCAGAGAAAGGCAAGGAAAATGACCAGGGGACTGGAGCAAGTGCCTTTTGAGGAGCAGCTACAACAGCTTTGTTTAGCTTAGAAATAAGGCGAGCAAGGGGGACACGATAGAGGTGTTTAAAATAGACATGCGGTGGAGAAAGGGGATGGGAGACTAGACCCTGGGGTCATCTCGTGAGGCTGCTTGGTGGGAGGTTTCAGTCAGATAAAAGGAAGTAATTCTTGAGGCAGCATCTAGTTAGACTACGGAATTTGTTGCCATGGAAAGTGGTGATGGCCAAAGGGGACCGGACAGATTCTTGAGGGAGGAGGCTGCCAGTGGCTCCTAGCCTTGCTGACTATGGTCCACCTCCTTTACCAGAGGTGACACGCCTGCATACAGCCGTTGCTGAGGAGCTGGGCAGGAGGGCTTGCACCCATCCTGCTGGAGGGATCCTGTGGTAGCTGGTTTGCCCCCATGGGTAGAGTGCCGGATGCAGCATGGCTTTGGTCTGAGCCAGCACAGCTCTTGTTCTGTTCTCAATTGCCCAACTGGTGGCCCTGAGTGCTGAGTATCCCGTGTTCTTGCATGTAGACCACCCACTGTGGATGTCCTCCAAGTGGCTGTCCATGAATGTCCTGATGTTGGATGAAAAACGTGTGATGGTGGATGCCAATGAAGCTCCAATCCAGAAGTTGTTTGAAAGCCTTGGTAGGACCAGTTCTTACTGCACAGGCAAAGGTTATGGGGCAGCTATTCTCAGGGCTTCAGATCTAAAGCGGGGAAGTGGAGAGCTTGGACCTACTTTGGGAGCATCCTAGGACAGCAGTGGCAAACAGAGGCCTGGGAACTCCACTAGACCCTTAGATGGCCTCCATACAGTATGTTTCTGCTGCACAGAGGCCCATCTTCAGAGTGAGGAACCCCCTGAGCAGGGGTGAGGAACTTCAGGCCTAAGGATGAAATTCAGCCCTCGTGGGGTCACAGTCCAGCTCGCTGGCCATATCTTTATCTCCTTTCCCCTGACTCCTGGGTGGTTGGTGGTTTCCTGGATTTTGTACAACTTCCCCCCGTTCTAAAAGGTTGACACATCAGTCCTAAGGCCTAGCTAGGAGCGGTAACAGCTTTAAGCAAACCTCTGCTGGAAATTTTGGCTTCACCCCTTTTGCCTTTTGCCCCACACAGCAAAGGCCCCTGAAATCTTCTCTGAAATGGAATTCAGCCCTCAGGCTGAAAAATGCTGAACATCCCTGAGGGAGAGCAAAGGAGCAGACTTGCTCCCTGTTACCATGTTCCTATTTGGCGGTTGAGTATTTTTTTTAATGACCTTTTATTTAAAAAAAAAAGTTCAAACTAGGGGCAGCAAAAACCAGACGCAAAATTACACAACTAGCTCACCAAATAAATAGATTCGAAACACAAATCTTTTTATGCAAGAAATATTTACATTAGTGAAATTTGTAAGTGCAACTGTTTTCTTACTAGAGTAAACATAATTTCAGCCCTAGTTTACTAGGAAGACCATAAGTTTCAAGAAAATAAAACCATAAAAAGGGACACACACACACAGCGATTTGAATATATCAGTTATGCATAAGCTTCAACAAAAGGCAGGCCAAATCTGCATGTGTGTCTCTGTTTGGGATTAGCATCTTCATGCTCTCCATTCAAATGTTGAAAGCTTCCTTCTTCAAGGCCTTGAAATTCACTGATGAGTAAAGATAATTCCTCCCTAAATCCTGGAAGCAGCAGCCAGTCTGTGTTGACAATACTGATTTCACTCTTCGTGTGAGTGGTCTGCCACACCGAATTGTGCATCTGGGCACTCTCTGTGTGAGTGCAAACTTCTCAGTAGCTCCTCGTTCTGCTTTTAACCCTGCAGGCATCTCGACCATCAAAGTGAACATCCGCCATGCCAACTCCTTGGGAGGCGGCTTCCACTGCTGGACTTGTGACATCCGTCGTCGTGGTACCCTGAAATCTTACTTCAACTAGTGCAGAGGGATGATTTTTATTTCTTTAGAACTTGCACATGGTTTGGTTTGCATGAAATAGGGTAGGATGACCGACTTTCCCCTGAAAAAGAGGGCATGAATGCATGAGCTGGGGTGCTTGGAACGGTGGCCCTTCTCCCGCTTCACACATTGTGGGTGGGTGATCCAACAGAGACTGCTACTTGCAGGCAGCTCTGCCCAACTGTGGCTCCCTGGCGGGGGTGCCCACATGATGCAGATGCTCACCTGTTCAAATAAATGTGTCTTAGGTGCACACCAGGCCGGTCCCCTACAGAGGAAAGAACAACCTCAAGAATGCCAAACAGCAAATACACTTTTGGTAGAATCCCAGAGTAAAGTTCCACTGAGATCAATGGGATCTAACTGCAGCTTAACTTAACCTGGATCCAATCCTTTCTATATAGGTTTTGCATCTTAAAGCATCTTAAGGGTACCACCAATGACAAAATGTGTGAAGCGGCTCTTACCCTGATCAGGCCAAAGTTGCAACACTTCATCAGCACACCGCGCAGGTCTTCTGGCTGGCTTTTTGAAATACATTCTCTACATCAGAACCTCCTCTTTATCTTCTCTCTCAGGATGTACAAAACTTGACAGTTCAGGCTGCTGAACTTCAGCTGGTGACACCTATACATCTATCTCTGTTTGAAATTCTCTCAGAAAGGCAGCTAGAAACATTGGACCTGAGTCAAACATTAATATTTTCTTTCCAGTTGATAGTATTTGTGTGTATGTGTGCTTGTGTGTGTGTGTACCACCCTTCTTAAAAGCAAAGATAGGACTTCAAAAAGATTTTACATAGATATAGATTTTTACAAATTTTAAGTATAATGCTATTTTAATTAGTCTAACTTTTCAGCAAAAAAGGAGCGAAATGCTTGCACCATGCAACGATGTGAATGTAACAAGGTATGGGGAGAAATTAATTTGGTTTGCATTTTAAATAAACATATCTAGTTTCACACTTCAAACCAATAACCAAACTGAAACTGAATTATCCTTCTATATTTGCACTTTTCTGAATTTTACAATGGAGGTCTCCAATTAGAATGTGTATCATTTGAAACAGATAAATAATATATTGGTGAAAGTAACAGACATGTATTACCAGTGTACTTAAATGCTTATGAATTGTCATGCAAACTAAACCAAAACCTTTCCTCAAGTGTTCAAGACAAACCAGATTTGAAACTGGAGAAATGGGAAACAGAACGAAACCGCAGTTGACAGCTTTGGCCATCCTTAGCCGGACCGACACAAGGATGGGCAACCCATGGCCCTCCTCGAAGCTGCTGGTCTAGGGGACCTGTTGGGTGGGGCTGGTGGGAGCCAGAGAGCAGCAACACTGGGAAGGCTGTGAGTTCCCACCCTGTCTGTAGAGCATATATGCATGGCGAAGGATGGAGATTACAAGGAAGTCTTACTTCTGGGCTTGCTTGGCATCACAGTGCTGGGTGTTGGTGGTGCTGGAAGAAAGGTCCTACCTGTGTTGGAATTCAAGGGCATAGCCTCTTCCTCCAACCATGGACAACCATCGGGTGGACCTTGGAATGGGGAGTGCCCGTCAAGAGGAGAAAGCATGAGCCAGGTTGTTCCTTGACTCCAGCTGCTGTATCAGGGGAAGGCCACTTGTGACCACTCAGATGTTTCAGCCTATAACTCCCAGGACCCTTCATGGTTCGCTGTGCTGGTATGGGGTGAGGGAAGTTGTTGGCTGAAACATTTGGAGACCTCCCCCAGCCTCTATGTTCACATCGATGCGATGCTTTAGAGAAATGGTGCTTTAAATCTCCCAGTGTCTCAGTGCTTAATGTCCATATTACAAACTGATTGATGAGATAGCTCTAGTCTGAGAAATACTTTTATCGAATTGTGTATGCTCTCACTGAGTATTTTATGCATCCTTTTCTTTGCTTTTTGTGTTAATTTCCTCCCATGAGTGCTGACATGATATTTTGGTTTTATGAACTTGTTTACATAAACGAAGATTTCTTATTAATAATAATCTCTAGCAGATATGCAAATGGTGGAAACTGAATAATCAACACCATCCGCAGTGTAAAATAAATTTTTAATACTGAGTTTCTCAACATGTGTTTTTATGCCAATAAAACGTGCATTTGCGACATTTTGGTATTGACTCATGTTGCATTTATGGATCATATGTGCCTTTTTGGCAGTTTTGACCCTAGTTTATTTGGACTTCCTGGACACATTGTTCTAATAGCATCTTATTGTAACTGCTGGTCAAGTGCAAATGGCCTCTTGGGATTCTCCAGCTTATTTGTTGACAGAATCTTTGGTAGATGTCGTTCTAGAGGTATCAAGGAAAACACCCCCCCCTCGTTTCACTGAATTTTTGCAGAGGGAGGAAAGACTCTTCAGCAATGGCTTGGAGTCGGACTCACTGTGGGGTTACGGCACAGCTTCTTCCCCTTTCCGTAAGGTTTTTCAGATATTGTGCTGCCCAGGCTACCCACATCTCTCCACTGCTTTGCTGTCTCCCTGGCTGCCCACACATCCTGACCTGAAGAAGAGCTGTGGGGCCTGAGTTACCTTTTGCTGCCTTCTCCTGGGCTTTAACCAAAGTGTGGGAAGCCGCAGGGGCTGCTCCCCAAGAGATTGTAGAGTGGAGGACAGGAGATTCACTCATAGGCACCCACTGCTTGGCCACCCCATAAGTCAGGGGAAAACTCTGAATCCCCACCCATCCAAATTGCTTGAACATTTTCTTATTGTAGCATGAATGGCTGTAAATAGCCCAGAGAGCTTTGGCTGTGGTGCAGCATAGACATGAAATAAGCAAAATCAAGGTGTTTGAAAGCAGTTCATGAAAACAATGGTGGGCCAGCCCAGAGAGCTGGTGCCCATGGTTGCGAAAGACGCCGGGATGAAACTTTGGAGAATGGCTGCCTGTCATCATGCCTGGTGCGGAGAACGTAGAGAGGGAGAGGTCATCCCATGAAGTGGAGGGGTGGAAGATTCAGGACAGAACAAAGGAAGCACACCATCTGAGCATGGCATTTGCTTACACAAGGTGCGGTGGTAGCCACCAATCGGACGGCTATAGAAACGGGAGCAGATGGACAACTTCACACAGGCAAGGTTAGCCTTTTGGTGGTTACTGGTCCTGATGGCTATATGCTACCTCTGGTATCAGAGGCAACATGCATATATACACCTATTGCTAGGGAATATGGGCTGTTACATGTATGTCCTGCTTGCAACCCATAGGCTGCTGGTTGGCCACCGTATGAACAGAATGTGGACTAGATGGACCCCTGGTTTGAAAGAGCATAGCTCTTAAGTTCATTGTAAACCAGCCTTCTCCAACCTGGTACCTCCCGCATGTGTTGGATTACAGCGTCCATCATCTCCAGCCAGTGTGGTCCTGGTATAGAAAACAGTGTGCATAAATATCCCCATGTTTGGCTACAGTGCTTGGTTTTGCCAGTATATCTTTCAAATATTTGCAAAGGCTTGGATGCTTTTGAGAGGGCTCGGAAAGAATGCTTGCAAATATCCAATCATCCCTACCTGCTTTGAAGAGTTCTCTTTCTCTGTGTGTGGTGGTGGTGGGGAGGACTGCAGGGAAACAAAATTATCCCTCACAACAGGGGGCCCTTGCTATTGAAATGAGTGGCTCTTTGCCTGCGTTTCTAGAAATAGTTGGATTTCCTAGCTTTCGAAAATGGATGAGAAGGATGCAAGAAGGAGCGCGGTTGGCAGCAACACTAGAGGGCGCTGTGGTGGCACTGATCGGCCTTTTTTCCATTGGGGCCGTTTCAATGGATTGAATTGGCTTGGTTTTGTTGCTTTCGATTTCTATACTGCCTTGCCTTGAAACATTAAGGGTTCAATCCTATGTATGCTAAGATGGAAAGAAAATCTTGCAGAGTCCTAATAACTGGAACTCTATGCACAACTGATTTGAGATAGCTCCTACAGAGAAGAGTGGCGTCTGCTTTTGAGGATGGGCATGCAGTATTGTCTGATTTATGGATGGCTGTGAAGTGGTGCAGAAGTGAAATGAATATGACATCACGTTTTTAATATTTGGACTGGGCAAAGTGAATAACCAAGGAGATCAAGTGCCTCTCTTTAAGAATAAACTGGGTTCTGTCCTATTTTGCATGATATAGCCAGTGTGGTGTCGTGGTTAAGAGCACGGGAGTGGGACTCAGATGATCTGCGTTCCAGTCCCCGCTCAGCCATGAAGCCAACTGGGTGGCTTTGGGCCAGTCACAGACTGTCAGCCCAACCTACCTCACAGGGCTGTTGTTGTGGGGATAAGATGGAGGAGGAGAATGATGTAAGCTGCCTTGAGCCCTTTGTAGGAAAAAGGCAGGATATACATCGAAATTAATAAACAAAACACACGTGTGCATGTCTGATCACAGTTCAGGCCTTTGGTACATCTAGTGCAGCTTGATCTCGTCTGGGTACAGAGCCTCATATCTTGGCACTGGGAAGAAAGGACTGCTGGGACTGGTACCCATTCAGCTCTGCACCTTCCTCATGGAAGAGACGCACCGGGGAACCATTCCAAGTGGGGTCGTTACTTGGAGTTCCAGCAGATGTTTAGCCTGAGCGTCCGCCATGTGGAGCAGCTCCAATTTCTTCAGGAAAGGTAGGCCAGCTGAAGTTGCTAAAATGTGTCCTTGCCAGCCTTGTCCGTGGTGAGCAAATCAGCCCAACTGCTGGAAATCATCAACAGAAGGACCAGAAACATATGAGGGTTTTCAAAGGACCCAATTAGAAGGCGGAATCTTCAAGACCACATGTGAAGAATCCTGGAATACACAAATTAAGATTCCACTTACATGCAAAGTGCCCTGCATGGAGGCAAGCTTCACCTGTGCCTTCCATCCTTCTCCCCTCCCTGTTGTGTGTCCTTCTCACAACTAGGTTAGGCTAGCAGGGGGTGACTAGCTCAACGCCACCAAGGCTGCTGCTCATATGTCTGAATGGGGATTTGGATTCGGTTCTCCCCAGCGCTGCTATGACCGTTACACCAGCCCGCTGGGGATGGCTTGTCCTGACTGCAGAACGCCTGCCCTGGTCCACAGTCACTGAAGGTCCCGGGAACTTCGTGCTGCAAATCAGGCTCCTATCCCTGCATGGTCCATCAAGGGGGAAATGCTGGGTTCACAAACCTTTCCTGAGCAGCACCAGTGGCTCTCTCAGTCTCTGCGTGCATTTGCGCTCCACATGCTCCCACACTAGCCTTTCTCTCTTACCTTGAGGCGTCTCTTGGGGAAATCGTCCTATCTTTTCTGGCTGTTTGCTAAAGGCATTCACACTGCAGTTCTTAGAACTCTCTTGTGTGTTCCTGGGAACATTGCACTCCTGTCTGATAGCGGCAAGTAAACTTGCAACACAGATTCTGTGCAATTCTCCAATCAAGGTCTCTGAGGAGAGGGACTGAAAACCCCAAGGAGCTTCATCTCACCCTGCCAGACACTTATATTTCCCCCTCTCCATGCAGGTTGGGGAATAAAGGTCCTGGATTCAAACCTTCCCCTGGAACTTCCTCCATTTTCCTAGTCAGCTTCCCCCACCTACTGACCTCTGGAGGCTTTGGGCTACAAGGCCCATCATCCCCAGCCAGCATGGGCATTGCAGTTGAACATATCTGGGCAGAATCGTGGAACAGTAGAGTCGGAAGGGGCCAGTAAGGCTGTTGGGTTCTACCTCCTGCTCACTGTGGGAGTCCAAGTCAAAGCATCTGTGAAGGACGGCTGTCCAGCTTCATCTTGAACGCCTCTGGGGTGGGAGACCCCAGCGCTTCTTGGGGCCGTGGGTGACTCAGCCAAGTCACCGCTTTCTGGGCAAGTGGCCATGCTTTAAGCGCTGCCCTTGTTGCAGCAAACCGCATGCTTAGAAAAGCCTTTGTCCTTGTTCAAATTGCAGGAAGTAATGTTGCATTTCTTAATGAAGCGTATTTGTTAGTGGTGGCACCCCACTTCTTTATTTATATCCCATATCGCTTTCCTCGGAAGCAAGCCAAGGAGGCTTGCTGCTTAAACTGTCTACTGATGGCAATGGTTTTAATTTAAATTTTGTTTATTAATTTTATTAATGTACACTTTGTTGATTGTACCTATTGTGCCTTATTGTAACTTTTTAACTGTATTATTTTATTAATGTGATTACTGATTTTCATTGTAATGGCTGCCCAGAGAGTATAATACTATGAGGCAGCTTTTATACAAATGCAATAAATAAATAAATAAATAAATAAATAAATAAATAAATAAATAGCCCTTGCTTCCTAAGCTGAACCGTGACTGGACCAAAGTCACCTTGTAAGCTTCATGGCTGGGAGGGGACTAGAACCCAGTTCTCCTGAGTCCAAGGCCAAAACTCTAGCCACTATACCACATAGGCTGTTGTGGAATAAACTCCCCAAAGAGGAATATCAGGCAAAACCCAGGCATTTCAGAGACCTACTCTAGCTTATTATTTCTCTTTTAAGGACACCAATGTTGATCATTGTTCTGCATAATATAATATAATATAATATAATATAATATAAGGCTGTGCTGTTTATCATTTGCATTATAATATATGCTATTCTTTTTAATACCTGTATTATATTTTAAACAGTTCAATGGCATTTTAGGTTTTAGTTTGTAGCCCAACCACAGAAGTTCAGTTATTGGATGGATTAGAAATGTAATACAATCACACAAATTCTTATTGGGATCTTTCTTTGAAATGACACACAACATGTAGGTTAACCCAAGTGGTCATCCCAGAAGGCTGACTGAAGGGAAACTGAGGGCAGGGAAGAGGAAGGGGTTCCTCGTCCAGCATGAAATTACACATGATGAGATTTGCTACCCCAAAGGCACAGTGATGGCCACCAATCTAGGTGACTTTAAAAGGGGATGACACATTATGGAGGAGAAAGCGCAAGGGGCGGCATAGAAATGTAATAATAATAATAATAATAATAATAATAATAATAATAATAATAATAATGGCGAGTGGTCCGGATGGCTATATGCTGCCTCCAGTGTCAGAGGGAGTATACGTACATGCACAAGTTGCTGGGGAACATGGGCAGCAGTGTCCTCTTGCACTCTTGCCCTGCTTGTGGCCCTCCC